AAAATCACCCAAAACATGCCTTACATGAATGAATGAATATATTTTTCAAATATTCATACTAAAATATTTTTGGAGTTTTAAACACAAAATATTCACTTGGCAGCATGTTTTAGGACATAATCATGCATTTTCAAGAACATTTCGAGAGTATTTGGAGAATTGTTTTTTAAAATTTGTTTTTATAAAACTTTTTGTCAAAATGTAAACTTTTCATATTATTTTTGGTCAAAAACTAAAAAAAAATTGACAATAAGGTTTTGATAAATACATTTCCAATATTGTATCTTGTCCTGTAAGTTTAAGTGTAAGTAACTTTTCACATCATTTTTGTCAAAAACTAAAGAAACACTTTTAGAGATGACTTTCCTGCGATGAAACTAGGATGATTTGTATCAAACTGCATGGTGTCGTTCACCTAGAAATGGTATTAATTGCAAATCATAGTCAAATCTCTAGTCATTTATATATTTTTATTTGTTTTGTTTTAAACAAAATACCAAAAATAAATCCACAAATGAAAGCATTACATGTTTTCTCAGATTGAGCAAACATCTGGACACTTCTGGCCACACTGGGTCAGTATAAATAGTGGCTCAATAAGTTAAGTGACAAAGACTTTAATTGCATGTGATTCCCTACTGAAGCTCAGATGCAAACTCATTCAGACACAGCCAGAGCAAAGAGCACAGGATGCATGTAAAGGTCATGTGATCCATTGTAAAACATTCATTTTAAGACTTTTCAAGAGATGCAAAAAAGTAATAATTAAATAAAATATGAAAAGAGTAAGGCATTGTGTTGGTGCAGAATAAATATATGAATATATTGAGGCCACATCGAGAATAAAAAATAAATAAAATTAGTAGAACAACATGATACATTTATGAGGATAAAGTAATAATGTTGTGAGAGAAAATAAGTAATTTATGAGAAAAAAGTTATTGGTAAAAAGTCATATATTTACAATTAAAAAGTCACAATTTTAAGGAAAAAGAAATGTTTAGGGCAAAGGTCATAACTTTACCAGAATTCATTTATAATAAATTGACAAACTTTACAACTATTTTCTCATAAATTTTTGATTTTTTTCCCCATAAAATTAGAACCTTTTCTCGTAACGACTTTTCCTCGCATCGACTTATGACTTTTTTTTTGTAATATTAGAACTTTTATTCATAAAAGCTTTTTTCCTTCTTGTGAATGTGTTATTTTTCTCATAACGTTCAAATATGTTTCTCTTAAACTCTTTCATTATAACCTCAAAGTCGCCTGGATGAGTTTAGAAAAATCTTTGACTGACCTTTTAGTCCAGCTGCTACTGATTTAATGTCAACTAAATGACCTGGATGGATGGGAATCTACACAGATCTTCTGCTTTGCATAAGCAACTGAGAGAAGCACTTGTTGTTGAGGCGATGATTCTGATTAAGTCCAACAGACTGAAGATGTTGATGTTCACAATAACCAGCTCAGGTCACAGTAAAGGCTCAGCAGGTGAAAATGTGTATCTTGTCACCAGAGAGTGGGGAAATCCATGTGGGAGAAACCCTGCTCCTTCCTCAGCTCCCAGTAGGAGTTGTTGCTAATCCAGGTATCGTCCTTTGACCTCCTACAGGTGACAGGAGAAAATCAGAAGTAGTTATAAGAATACAAACAAAACAACATATCTATGAAGATTCTCAGTCATCCAGGTCATGGTCAAGGTTGAAGAACCCTTCAACTCTCAACAAAATAACAAATGCTTCCTGTTGAAAATGATTTATATAAAAAATGATATAAAAACTATTTAAGAATCCCTTAAATAGGGGGGAATAGGGTCAGCAAAACGCCCTGTTAAAATGAAGTTATCTTTCATCCCAAAAGGCAGAGCATTAAAATGTCATTTCTACAAAGAAGCCAATCTGTCTGCGTATATACATACAGTATATATATATATATACACACACGTATATATGTATATATATATATACACACACACATATATATGTACAGTATATATACACACGTATATGTATATATATAGTATACTGTATATACATATATATAAATTATTGTATTTTAGTATTGAAGAAATCCACCTGAAGAAGTGCGGCTGGTGTGTCATGTTGTTCTCTTCGGTGACTCTCCTTCTTTCTCTCTGCATCTCTTCAATCCTCTGTTTCTCCTTCTCTGCAGCCTCCACCTTTCCTTCCTCCAGCAGTCTGACAGAGAGACAAAAACACATTCTTCATGTTGACATCGAAACACTTTCATCTACTGCAATATGTGTTTCAAGACAGGGGTGAGTGCCTACACGATGACCCTCATTTGACCTCTCACCTCTGGTCCGGCCGCAGCCTGGTGTCTGTGGGTGGCAGAAGTGACTTCAGTGAGGTTTCACACTCATTCAGCTCCATGGCAAACTTAGTAAAACCATAATACTGATCATGGTCCACTGGCATAACCTCTGTCACACAAACAAATGACAGAAAAATTATTTTCTTACTTCTTTGGACTTTAAATAAAAAAATGGAGAAACCATTGGTATTAAAAGTGAAGCAAAATTGAAATCATCATCAAATTGACCTCAAAATGTGATTAGTAATTACTGTTTTTTTTGCTGTAGCAACAAAATGCCTACATACCATTTTTTATACAGTCTGTGTTGACACAGACAGTTAACTTACTTGCTCTCCAGATACATGTAGCTGTGGGCGGGTCACCACAGAAAACTGCCTCGTGCCATTTCCCAAAGAGAGTGTGGATGACCTTTCCTTTCTGGTCTGTCACAGTTCCTTCCACTTCATTCACACTTGAATTCCAGTATTTTGCCTAAACAGATAATAATATAAAAAGTATATATTTTAAAAAGTACAATGATGAAATGTTAACGTTTAACCTTCTGCAAATACCATGTAGAAAATAGTGAGCCAATTTGTCTTCACCACACATTTCCCATGATGTTAATGTTGTAAGAGATAACTACAGATCAGCTCTACAAGAGCTAAAGCTAGCTACTTAGCTAGCTGGTTAGCCTCTTGTATCTAGTTTAGATTACGCCAAAACCAAACTAAAAGTAGCCAAAATAGTTAAGGGCTAACTCTTCCTCTTATAAATATCAAAGCTGTACTACAAGCAAGAATTAGCCAGAAGTACAATGAGCACAGCTAAATGTTTCTAAAATTTAGCCAGAATTAGCTTATCATTTCCTGTAGGCTAACTAAACTTCCTGACATAGAAAAAACTAAAGTCAAGCCAAGAAAAGTTTTAGAGAGATTAGAGAGATCAACTGTTACTGTAACTGTTACCTTCTATTCCTAGCATTAGCAATGCTATGACGACCAGGCCGTGTTGAAAGTGTTTAAAGAGAGGAGAGTGCTTAATGAGTGCTGACATGTGTTGGACACTTTACTGCCAAGCGTCAGGTCTTTTAAATTAGTTCTAAATGAAAAGTAATTCACCTCCTCCTCAAAGCCACATCTTCAGCACAACTGACTCAGCAAAACTGACTTTCTAGCTGAGGCTGTAAATTTAAAAAGCTACATACAAGCTAATTGCCAACCATAACAAAACATAGGAGCTATGATTTAAAAAATAAAATAAAATGTAATTTATAAAAAATAATTTTTGTCAGTCTTACCTTAACAAAAGTGATCTTGCACTGGCAAATATCGCTGCTGGAGTTTCGTATGGTGATCTCGCCGTAGTGCTCAATCCAGCGCTGCCCACTCAGGATGTTGTGAATACAGGACGTCACCTTGTTCCACTGGTAGTGGTCCCCAAATCTAGAGTTGAAACATTATTTGTACTTGTAGACAATGTTTTTGATGAAGACTCTTGTTGGTGAGCAGGGAGTAAATGAGGCAGCAGTTACTCACTCAGGCAGAGTCACATGAGTGGTGCCCACAGGAACAATCTCCATGGACTTGCCCCAGAACTTGTTCTTACACCTGACATCTGCAAAGTCAAACAGTAGAGGTCAGCATTCTGCCTGAATGACAGAAACCTGCTATTAAAACATATTTTAAAAAAACATGGTTGAAAACATTTTCCTCTACCTTGCCAGAATATAAATTTTTTAGACTCTGCGTGACAGGCAGAGATTGGTGGATGATGACTGACCTGACAAATGAAACAAGACAAAATTAAAACAATAGCAGCAGTAGAAATCTTTATTTTCACTAAATGTTTTTAGAATAGTTCATCTTTTTTAAATTCATACTTGCTCTGCAACAAATCTAAAGCCTTTATCAGGACGGTCACATTCGTACGTCTCCCCCAGGATGGGGTTAAACGGCTTCCCTCCAGTTCTGTAGTAGCTGGACGCATATCCTGAAACAACAAATGTAGCCACGTACACCTAAAGAGCACGGAGACAAAACAACACTGTTAGTAGCTTTGTTAACATTTTTTAAACAAATAAGTAATTAGTCAACGGGGACCAATTAAAATATTTTTTAATAAAATTACTATTATATCTAAGACAAAAAAAGCGTAATATTGCTAATATTGTTATCATTATTATTATTATTATTCCACGTTCACCTACAGCTCAGAAACTTCCAGTAAAACCCTGCTTCTGTGGAAGTAACATTTTTTGCAGCATTTATCCAATCAGTATCTGGTCCTCGAATTGAAAGAAAGCTGTCCAAGATCTGCCCCATTCAACCCAATTGGCGCTGAGCATCAACAGAGTTTAATACGCACACAGTACTTCTACCACCTGTCAATCCTTCCTGCCCCCCTCTGGTACTACAGAAATATTTTTAAATACTCAACTGTTATTAAAGGATGAAAACACAGTTTAGACCTGGAGGAAGTTTAGGTTTATAATTCTGATGTCGCTGATATTATTCTTTGTGAAACAGCAGGTCGCTGTCTAATGAATTTAAAGAACAAAAGTGAGTTGTCATTCTCACCATCCGTTCATAGGGGTCCCTGGTGTTGGCGGCTGTTTCCAGCAGCTCGCTGTACTCCAGCTCCTCACAGAGTCTCTGCAGGGTGTTGAGAGGCTCATTTAGCTGCACAGGCATAGCCACCTTGGACAGGTCTTTACCAATGTTGTTTCTGAGGATGTTCCACAGGCTGATGGTGCTGTTGTTGGGACTGGGGGCCGGCAGACGTGTTCTACGCTGACAAAGTGCGACACTATTTCCTACAGGACCTGGAAACAGATGGTGTATGAAGTGACGAAGGAGAATGAAGATAAATGAGTTCTTCAAACTGAACTGAACATTTTTGTACCGGAGTTGGATCTTTCCATTTCTGTGCCATTGCTGAAGTTGTCCATGGAGATGTTGTCACTGACGTCACTGGTGTACGAGTCGTCTTCAGACACCTTCAAAATAATTGTAATATTTAGATCAACAAACATATTTCAATAAAACGAATTTGTTTCAACATCCTGGCAGCGTCAGCAGATCAGAGAATATGAATGTTCCCCGAGAACCTGGTGACAAAGTTGTACCTAACTGTTCTGTATTTTTAGATTAAATTAATTAACGTTCACTTTCTCCTTGTTTCCGCTCCAGCTGTGAACTGATTAGAGACACTGCTGAACAGAGGAGAATGTCACCGAGCACAGATTTGTTTCATGAGGTGACTGTACCAGCACTGGTGTCGCTGTGGCTGACGTTCACATCAGGCTCAGTAGAAAGTGTTGATGTCAAGAGGAAAAACTCTGAAGCTGACTGGAACACCCTGATGCTTACCTCGTTTTCAGAGGAACTGGCAGACAACAGGACTTCCTGTGCATCGAAGAACTCGGACAAAGACTCTGTAATCGACGCTCTGCTCTCATTGGACACCTGGTGCACCAGAGCAGGTGATTCGTCCACTGAGTCCTGTTTCTAGGAGACACGATTTTTCATAGCTATAATTACAGGCAGGTAATACACAGCTTCTCTCTTGACAGGAGCTGGTGATCGTTGGGCATTTTACCCAACAGTATAATCATGATGTGGAGATGATGAGAGGATTAGAACAGTGACACACACTACAGGGGTGTTTTAATAACAGCAATCAGTTCTGCACCCATTTAAATAAGTATGAAGAGTAACCTGTTCAGGTGTGATCGAACTGTCATCACACTGAGGACTGACGTGGCTAAAAATACAAGAAAACGACTGGTTCATATTACAGTACATGATACACTGTAGCAGTTATGCTGCAATCCATGTTAACAAGTGTGTCCCTAGTTATTAGAATTCAAATCTGTCCGTGGGCAACATCACAAACTTTGTTAGAAGCAAATTTACTGAAATATTTCTACTTTTATTCTACTAGAACCAAGGACAGAAAATAAAGGGACGCAGTTTTTACAAAAATTAAAGAGCGTGCACCGACACGCCGTGATCCTGCTGTGATCGAGGCTGATTAATGAATCAGGAAATGTTCCCAGAGACAAAACCTTTGTGTTAAACTGTGTTCACAATTACAGAGGCACCAGAGGACCAGAGCGCCTCACTGTGGCAGGTAGATAAAAGATAGATGGATTTTATTATTTTATTATATTAATCATCATCATCATTATGATGATCAATATTAACACCATGATCCTCATCAACATAATTTTCATCTCTATCATCATTTAACACCATGATCCTCATCAACATAATTGTCATCTCTATCATCATCATCAGTATTATCATCATCATCACCACCACCACCACATTCATCATCGTCACCTTTAGCACCATCACTACCACCATGACTGTGGGGAGCAGAACATCCAAACGTCACTACATGGTTGCACCCACCTGCACAGGAGCAGTCAGATGTATCTGTGTGGACTCCGTGATGTGGGACTCAGCATGGATCTTTCCCAGACGCTCCCTCAACTCAGAGTTTTGAGATAAAGCCTAAAAAAAAATAATGTTAGCGTTAGCATGGATAATAGTGAACATGCAGCCAATAAAGGTGGATAAGTTCAATATGTAACAATATTACAGAGGTGTGAGCACTTTATATTTAGCTCACAGTGAGCTCCCTGGCTGTTAGCAATCAGACAGCAGGTAGTGGGAGCCTGATTTATACACCAACCTGATACTAGCCCAGTGTGAGGTGTAGAGGAGGCAGGAGATGAGCAATCATGTAGAGTTGAATTGTTGTAATAGAGCAAAGGAAGTGAGGCGGATGATGAAGAGGCTGACGATGAAGAGGCCAAGCTACCAAGCCCTTCATTTTCCACTAACAAGTCAAACGCAGTCAAACTCAATTAGAGCAGAGACTAAAAACATAAACTGGGACCAAGTGGAGAGATGAGGGTGGTCAGTGTTTATTAAAGGTCTGAGTGACAGACTCAGTCACTGACTCCAAAAGACAAGAAGGAGTGAAATAGCTGCATCAAAATGAAGACAGTTTAAGTGTTTTTTATAACCATCTTCTGTTTTCACATCACTCATGTCTGAGAGAACACAGAGTGACAGAGCGACCTCTAGTGTTGTGAAGTGTTGCTGATAAAGAACTTTTACTTCAAAATTATAACATGTACTGCACACAGAATTTGTTCCAAATACTATAAGACAGTGTGGGTTCATCCTTTAGGGATGAGGCCATCTGGGCCAAAGCTGTGGGAGTTTGTATGAAGGATATGAAGGTCACTGTGGGTCAGTACTTTTCTGTTCATGGGCTGAGCTGGAACCAAACCAGTGAACAGGTCAGAAGGTCATCACAAGAATTATTTTCCTTTCCAAAAACAAGTTCTCCTCCACTGCCACTGACTGGAACAGTGTGAGTGGATACACTCATGAATCCATGGTTATGAACTTAAATGAATCACATTAATGTAATGTTGTAAATGTTTTACTGGTGAATAAATAAAAAATATCAAATTAATGTATTGAATACTTAAATAAATCGATGAAAAAGACAATTATTGTGCCAATAAAAAAAATCAAACTTTCTGCCATAATTAATGTATTGAATACTTAAATAAATAGAGTTTTACTCTCATCAAGGAAAACAGAGGCCAGTTTGTTTGTGTTTATATAGTATAGTTGGTGTATTAGATCTGAAGCTGTTTCAAAATAAAAGCATGAGCTGTTAGTCAACATCATCCTTTGACAGAAGGAAGCGCTTAATGCATTGACCATAAAATTACAGAATTCAACTCAGATTTTTAGCTTAATATGACTCCAAAATATTGATTCCAAATCTAGAGGTTTTTGGACTGTACAGGAAAAGCTTTACACTGCACCACTGTGTGGTCCAAGAAAAAGAGGAAATAAAAAGATGCGTGTGGGTCTGAGTGGGTGGAAGCAGCCACTGGGAACCTGACTATAACACATGTTCTGGTGGAGGCTCGACAACGTCACTACAGCAGGATGTAATTCCTCTAAAAGGCTCATCAATGTGTCACGGCTCAGAAATCATGTGGGAGGATGCGGCGTCTTGAAGAACGGAGGAGAATTCCTAATCAGCTTCTACAGACGTCAGATGTGTGTGTGAGTACGAGTGTGTGTCCTTTCACGTACCGTCGCCAGTGCATTCTTCAAACTGACCACTTGTGGGGACGCGGGGGGGCATGAGTCATGGTCCAGACACTGTTTTAGCCTCTCCCTCTCCGAGGTCAGGGCAGTGAGGGCTGACATCATGGTGGCATGTACTGTGAGGAAAAAGAGAAAAGCTCTCATCAATATTCACCAGACGTTGACACATCCGCTGGATCACGTCATTTGTAACCATGATTGTAATTATGCCGACGTTAAATTTTAACAACCTCCTCTTGCTCGTTAATAGCATTGTTTTACAACGCTGACCTCTCAATTATCTCATAATCAGTGCTTGCGAGGCCTCAATAATAAAAATGCCATCATTTAAATATGATAATACATCACAGCCATCTATCAAGATCATCACCGCTTCATAAATAAGCGCATAAATCTGACTATTTAAATGCACTGGCAGCTATTCCCCTGAGCAACTTCAAACTCCACACACAAATCTTCCTCATTATGCTATGTCACGCGCTACGTGAACGAGAAGTTCACGTCCAGTGATGGAAAAAACACTGTGAAATCTCAGGAGGCAAAACCAGAGATTTTTATAAAATAATTATTACCCAGTGTCTGTCGTTAGTGAATATAAATTAAATACCATACTGCGATGAGCAGTTCTATAGAACGTGACTGACAGTTCGTCAGTGATTAGCAGTTGCACGGCTGCAGCGTTGTCACTGATGACACAATGGACGACACAGATGAGGCGTCTGAACGATGATGCACTTGTGCATTTTTTTCCCCGTTGTCTTTTGTTTGCGACAATTCACTCACAATCTGCTGCGACTCGACAGAAGTCCTCCTGCAGCTTGGCCACGTCGAAGGCACAGTCCAGAGATTCAAGGTCGATTTTGTCATTGACGAGAGCAGCTGTGGAGAGGTTAGGATTGGAGGCATGGAGACGGACGGCACCAGAGGAAATGCAGCTGGGCACCTGCAGAAAACAGTAAGTGGAAACATACAGAAAAATGAAGTCATTTTTTAAAATTTCTAACCACTGGGACAGAGCGGTCGAATGGGTGTTAGCCTTTAAATAAAGAACTCTACAACATTAATGATTCCTGATGAGACACCTATGATGGTGTTTAAATGAGTTCCTGTTAATGAACAGCAACAGTCACACACCATTGTTTCCCTGTTTACCTGGAGTGTTGTCTTGGTATCTTTGTTGTAGTTCTTTGAGCGCCATTTTCTTGGAAGTCTTTTTTCCTTCTTGGGACTGTCAAATGTAGATGTCTGATCAACGATAAGAAGAGTCTCATGTATTTTCACAGGAAATTATGTCAGAACTGAGCAGAGCTAAATGAAGGGCCTTCTATAATTAGTACCAAACAGCCTGAGGGCATTACAAATTTCAAAGAGGAAATGAGAGAAGAAGAAGAAGAGTCATCTGACTTTATATCAAGTAATTCAGGGTCGTCTGGATGTTACATACGTAGTAGACCTGATGGAGGTCACTGACCTGCAGGGCTTGAAAGGACGGAGCAGAGTATGTGCGGTGGAGGACTTCCATATTTTGCAGCAGGTGGTTGAGCTCCAGCAGGTAGGAGTCACAGACGGACAGGTCTGTTGAGAGCAACATTTTTTAGGAGAAGTCTGATTCTGGTTGACTGTGAGACGACTAGCGTTCCTTATTTTAAATAATGAAATATCTTGACATGGCCGCTGTTTACCTGTCAGGGCCTACAAACTGTGGCTATAAGGCACAATTCTTTTTTTACTGAATTAGATTTTTTAATGTTAGATAATTATTTGAATTTGTTAAGAAAAAAAGTATATATTTTATTTTTTTTGCAAATACTGCCTTAATATCCAGATGACAAAATGAAAAATAAAAATTGCATCTGAAATACTTGTTTATTTTGTACCAAAAAAAAGAAAAAGTTGTAAAACAGCCAGTGTTGGCGATTAAATCAATGATATGTGTTTTACCAAGAATCCAACTGTTAGAAATATGTTGAAGAAATTAACAATTAAAAGTCACAAATAAAGTTCGAATAATTTTCCTGCTTACAGCTGTGTTTATAACGCCCCCTGCAGGGCTAATCAAAAGTTTGCCTCACACATAGACAACTATTTAGTCGTCACTAAATCTTGTTCCGGAATATCAGAAGACGTCCAGTAATCAGGTCGTCTGTCCACTGTCTCACCTTTGGAACATTTATCCAAGTCCTCTGAGGACTGCAGCCAGGCTGTAACCTTGGCCTGGCTGTTGCAGCCTAATGGAAAGGCTCCCACTGAATGCACCGTGGACTGCCTTCGTATAGACATGCACTGTAAGAGATCAACATGTTAACAATTTTACTGCTTTATAAAATATTTAAAATCAGATAAAGATAAAACAAAAACTAAATCAAGCAGCAAATCATATAGTTTTTCATTTGTGTCGTGGAGAGGTGTACCCTTCTGAAGGAGGCATTCTTAGCCACGTTGGGCGAGCTGGGGGAGGTGTAGTAAAAGGTCTTCTCAGTAGGATACATGGCAATTTCATTCTGCCGATAGAGACGATGATGGCGCAGCTTAGACACCCAGTCATCAAACAGCTCCTGGGACTTAATCTGTGGAACACATAGCAACAACACAAAGTACCACAAGGACGAGTAAAGCATAAAAAATAAATAAATAGTGCAGTGTGACCCTTAATTCCCTTTAACCCAATTTCACCATGCAAGGTCAGTGTAAAGTCATCTACATGAAGGCAACTGTTCCAGGAACACAGGGTGAATTATTGAAATAATCCATGTTTCACCTTGTTTCTTGTAAGTCAGCAAATAAGTAATAGCTAATATTCATTAGCCTTGGGATTTACCTTCAGGTGATAGATGTTTTCCTCAGCATCCAGATCAATGCACTTTGCTTTCTTCTTAATGGCCATGACAGAGAGACCCACGTCGATGCAACCGTGCAGTTTCCCCTTCTCAATCTATGTGACAAAGTCAACACATGACATTTCAGATTTATTAGCTTAGCCTTTACACAAGAGGACGCCTCATTTAATAAATCCATGCGGCAGTGTCTTAAAGCAGCAATAACAGCACGGTCCTCCCTCTGCACATGGACAACACCACTTTATAAAATGGATTTATAATCATGTAAAACTGACGTTGCAATGTTTAATTCACTGTGAGAACATTTGATATATTTACTCTAAATAATCAACGAAAAAGGTAACTTTAAGAAGATGGTCGTTTGTCGTCAGTGTTTTTAGGTCAAAGACACAAAACTGATGGAGAGATGGAGCAGCGTCTGTTATTACACAGTGTAAATATAAAACCGGTAATTTATTATAATCAGCCTTGTCCCTTGTTACTTTGTTTTCAATAACATGCAGATTCATGTTGTGTAGTTGTGTTATTAACCTCACAGTGAGTGCATCTGTTGTGGAAGTGACCTTCACAAACACTTTGTTAAGTACCTCTGTGTTAACATCAGGGTTCGGTACATTTGTCATACAAAAACAACTGTGTACAGACATAAAAATGGCAGTAATGGCATTTACTGAGGTTCATTTGAATCCTGTCACATTTGTGTTTCAGGAGAGAATTGACTTTTATTATGATGTGCGTTACCATGGTTACTGTAGGTTACACATGTGTACCAATAGTTTGTTCGGTACACGTGAGTATTTGTACCAAACTGTTTGGTATGAATACACATACCGAATAGTTGACAGAAAAATGCAATGACCCTGAAGTACCTCTGCTGACTCCATAGGGGGCACACCCTGTTTGAGTATTAACAAGCACTTGTGCAGTCAGCAGGCTTTCGTACTCACATCAGCGCTGCACTTGGCATACTTCAGGACGCCCTTGTCTAAAGAAAAGTATCTCTGCAGAGAGAAAGAGAGAAAAGACAGTGAGCTGGTTTTGATGACAGATGAATACCATCATTACCTTTAAATAACAATACGTGCATGTTTCTCCCCTTTGTTTTCTATCATATAAGTACTAGTATATTAAAAATATTCATATTGAATGAAATATAATTTGACAAAACATCAAGTGTGTGTATGAAGTGTTTGTGCATTCTGTCTCTTTTAAAAATGATCAAGTGGGCCGGATTGAACCCCCTTGCAGACCAGTTTTGGCTAGCGGGCCGTATGTTTGACATCTCTGACCTAAGGTTTCACCAGGAGTACATGAGAGTCTCTGAACCTCTGTCTTAGAAGGGCTTAGTACACTGGTGCTCTGCTGTCGTCAGATGTGATTCTAACTTCTAACATATTTATGTCCATTATGTAGAACTTTTAATACTTTGTTTAGGTTTTTCTAATCCCAGACATTAACAGCTTATACTCTGTTTTCAGTGATAAAAGGTATACTATGAAAGTAGTGGTAGATTTCCTCTTTACTTTGACGTTAAGAAAATGTGCTCATCCATATCCACGAGCACGACTCCTGTCACGTTTCCTTCTGTCTGCGTATTTCTTTCTGACTCCGCTGATGTCTCCTCATATTCTCAATGTGAAATCACGGAGCACTTACTGTACATCATCGGACTACTGACAGCACAAAACGACTGAGATGCTCTGACTGTAAGTCAATACTAAATGCATACAGCTCTATAACCAACAGGCCATCAGCTAATGCATCTGAGAGGAAACAACGAGTCTCCTAGAACCCATCATCACAGTCAAAGCTTTCAGACAATGGCTCAAAAAAAAAAAAAAAAAAAAAAGCCACTGACCCGAGTCACATTTGAGGCTCAAATCCTCCAAACTTATTCAATTAGTGCAAAAACAACTGAAAAACATCCACTCTGACGGACGTTATCTTTGTGTTTGTCAGAACAGGTCATTTGAACAGCTCAAATATGTCAAACGTTGAGTAGAAGAAAACTAAACCAGAGAACCAAAGGAGTCCTGACAGTAGTGGTGACTGATTACCACGTGGAACATCATTAACATTAGCTATCTCAGGTTTTATAGCTGTTGTATTTTTTTCTCTACCTTACATTACAAACTCTCAGGATCTTATTAGAAAATACATGAGACATAGAAATTAAAAAAATAATTGAAATAATAACATTTAAAACGTAAACGGAGAGGGAAGGCTTCGTATGAACTTGATAGTAGAGGTGTGTTTGATTTGATTTGAAGTGGAAGTGGTTTATTGTCATGGTGAAGGTCGTTTATGGCCTCGTTAATGAGGAACAGGATTTTATAAGTGATGTGATGTTTAATTAGAAACCAGAGAAACTCAACTACAGTCCCATCCACCAACAGGGGGTGTTGCAGAAATAGTGCGACAACGACTGAAGTCCTCGTCGCTCTTTCACTATTGTTGTAACAATGAAATAGTGACATCACGATGACAAACATCTTAAACATATTCCTTTGACATTGCACTTCTACGCTGATGACATCATTACCTTGTGCCAGCCTTTCATTGGCCACTTCCTCTTCTTCAACATGTAACCCTCCTGTTTCTGCGGCTCCATGACGTTGCCGAATCCTCCGCGCAGGCCTTCTACTATTTCCCAGTTGTCCTGTGGAAACAGATGGTTTTTAAAATCCTGGAAACAAACTCCAAAAACCTGCAACACAATGTTGCTAAATGACACAAGGAAGCAAGGACACGAGTATGGATGGAATACATTTGCTGCCTTTTCCCATTCTTTTTGCATTTCTTTCACTTATTTGTACCCATTTACTCGCACACTTGTGTCAGTCATAGAATTCAAAACACTGCCCAGAAAACACATCAGCATTTAGACTAGTGAAACGTGTAATTGTATATCTAACATTTTGTTTTGTTTCTTAAACATCAATCTAGTTTTTCACACTTCCCAAATCCCCTTTGGTCTCACTGGCTCAGTGAAGGAGAAAATACATTCCTAACCAAAATGAGATGTGCTGGAAAAAAAGATATATATATTTTAAAAAATAACTGGATGTGTGCTGCGGTCTATTTAGCACAGCTGTCCACAAGGACTTAATAAACGGTAAACAGACTTGTGTTGTGTCAGTGTGTCCCTCACAGTCCCACGTAGAAAAGTCCCGGCTAAACAAAGCTTCAGACAGATACGGAGCTGAGGCCGTCTAAAATAAACCCCCATATCTGATGAGGGGGCGTCAGAGGGGGGGCAGAGTGTGACTTTCTGTGGTCTCTGCCTCTGTCAAACAGTGAGTCACCGTCACGCAGCCTGAACTCTTTTTCTTCGAGGTCAAGGCAGCAACGTCACTGGAAATACAAGGGTGAGCTCACAGAGAGAGTTTATCAAGATGGAGTCGAATCTGAGATTAACAGTGAAGGAATTCACTGTGTCTCACTTTGATGTTTCGTCTTTAAAAAGTTGAAGAAGGGATTTTGGAATAGATTTTGAAATCTATCATTGTGAAAATTTACAAATGATGTCAAATAGACTGGGATTTTTGACTGGGATTTCTGAATCACTGTACTTTTAATGAACTTTTTTTAAAATAGCTTTTTTCATGCTTTTTTTTTCTCAAGCTGCCATTGCATTTAAAGCAACAATATTTAAAGCAAAACATTGGTAACTTTATGATATTAGGCCTTTTGGTCACAGGTTAATGATGGTCACAGAAGCCTGGTTGGACATTTAAGACTCAACATATGTATATAAATTTATCAACATATGTCTCCGTGTTTTAAATGAATTTTAAAAGGCTGTTTAAGGAAAAATATTGAAGGGAAATTCTATTTTTTCATCTTGTGTTAGTCATGAATGCCCACTAATGTTTTACTAGCGTATTTCACTGTAACAGGTTGTTATATTTCCAGTTTCACTTTATGAAAAACTCTTAACCAGACCAAAGAGTTGAGACAATATTTTTTCATCATATTTTGCAGTAATGAAGTACTTTGTCCCCAGCAGAGAAATTGTATAACTGTAATTTTCAGAAGAGAAAAACTGCTTCAGGCAATGAAACATTAATGATTCTGCAGATACGTGGGACATACTAGTTGTTGCAGCTAAAGGAAACCCACACTACATTTTTGTACACATAGGAAATATATAGACTGTACAATTGTGTTGATTTAAATCCCTCGAAGGCTCAAGTACATGATGCAAATGAGACACAGAATCAATTACATCCTGAGTCGTGCCTTTATAAAAAGAAATAAAAAAACTCATAGTAGAGCACAAGACAAGAAAAAAAGGATTTCTCTGGAAAATTATTCAAGTGTCTGTTCATGCTTTTCCCATAATAAAAAAAAATCAGATTCAGTCTGTCATGAAAGAACAAACTGTAAAACCAAAGTCTATGTAGAATAGAATAGACCCTATTGTTGTTCAGTGAAGACCAATCTGTGATCAGAATCCTGTTTCTATGACTCGTACCTATCAATATTTTGCATCCGTAAGATTCATATTAAAAAATATTTAAACATGTGAAAATGTTTCTTCATCAGTAACCATTACACAAAGAGCGGCTGCATTAGCCCCGTGCTGTGCGACAAGTGTCCTCAGGCTGCTGTGAGTTACCTGTCGGCCCTCTTGTTTGGATGAGGAGCTGCTGTTGCTGCGTGACAGTGAGGAGATCTTCTGTGACATGGCTGAGCCTCGCTCCTCTGAGCCCATTGCACTGCAGAGTGGCTACGAGTGGAGAACTACAAACATTCCTCTGCTGAGTAGAAGAGGAGGTGGGGGGGGGGGGGGGGGGGGGGGGGAGACACGGTCGTGGAGAAGGAGGGAGGGAGGGTGAGAAAGAGAGAGGGATGGCTTTAATAAACATGTCCACTAAAAGCTTTTACAACGTCTCGCAGAGAAATACCCGTGTTTATTCGGGGTGATTAGTCTCCTCCGTCATCATGGGCCATAAATATTACACAGTGTGTTTGCTGTCAGCTAATGAGAGTGAGAATGCACTCACAGTCAACTGGGTAAAGAGAAAAAAAAACTGGAGAGAGTTCACATCTAAATCACGAATTAAAGAGCAACAGATATTCCTAACTCTTCCATTAGGGTGTGTTATAGTGATACCTTAAGATACATTTACTTCAGCAGACGGTGAAACAGCAGTAGTAACGGTGAAACAATGTTAAACAACCTACACATTTTTTGGGATTTAACTACGAGCTCTACCTGTTGTAAAAGCACTCGGTCATAGGGATGTCCGATTTTAACTTTTTGCCACTATCCGATACAACGATAGTGTCCAAACATCTAATTTCCAATTCCGATATCCACCCATATCGATATAGGCCTGGTAATATTATTTATTTATCTGTACAAATAAACACCCACTGCATGAGTATGAGATTAATTAAATGAGCTGCAATGCTGCCATCTAGTGACTTTCACTTTAATATACAGCCGTTTATCCCCAAAACTATGTTTAGGGCACACGTCATTTGGCAAAAACATTGCGTAAGCATTGCGTAATCAGGTTTTCATTATCGGAGGAAAGACCGATAACAATTCTTACAGGTATTAGATTATATGCTAATTATAAATTCACTTTATATACAGTAACATACAGTCAAGTAAATACAGCATAAATACATAATTATTGTTTTTAGTGAATGCACTTGATTTTATAAAAGTACAAAACACAGAAGACAATACAATAGAACAGGATGAAATAGAATGGAATTCCTTTGACGTGACCCATTCTGCTAAAACATAATATCTAGAAAGAGCCTGTAAACATGGAACCAAGTGGAACTGATAATGGACTACTTTCACTGCACTCATCAAGTCATTACTCAGACTTTGTCTCTTCCCATTTTCAAGTGTATCAGATGCCAACCACTTTGATGCAGGCTAATCCTGTTACCAGCTCTGCACGTACAAGCTCTGTGCTGCACGGTGTCCACAGACACTTTGGGTTTGACGGACAAAAGGACGGTCATCTGACACTGTCCTCCCTCACCGGAGCATCCTACTCTGTCTCTCTGCCTGTTGACCACAGTTATGTCTGCATCTGATTAACCAGACCAGAGGGAAACCACACTGAGCTCCTGACAGATGTCAGTTGTGACCTGCATCATGTGCCTTATTCATCCACTCTAAGCTGCACACACACAGGCCTCCCCTTCAAGACTCCCTTTTATCTGGCACTACAACTGCACTTGTCAAGCCTTCATCATGGTGACAGGGGTGTTACACACCAGTTACAGTAATTAGCCCTCTCCCACAGAGAAACACAGGCCCCAAAAATGGCACCAGAATTGCAGTGAGCAGTTGTGTTCAACTGTACTGTAATGTAATTACATATTTAGGTTCAGACTGTGTGTATTTTTACTTGATGGTTGTTGAAAACTGACCACAGAGAACAGAGGCTGGATTTGGTTGGTACTGCAGGGAAGAACAGGTACAGAACAGTCTAGAATGTTGACAAGAACTGCCCTGTAAGTGTGGGTGAAATCACATGGACCTTCTACAAAGGTCCACTTTTCGGCTAGCACATATGCTAATGCTATATCAAACATTTCAAACATGAATCTTAAAATGGTTTCCTCTTAGAAAGAGGTTTGATGACGAGACATTTAATAACTTTAACTACATGATGGATGACAGGAACAATTAGAAGTAAAAAGTATTTAGGGTTGACGACTGACATGAATTCAAACTGGTTCACAATATTAGATCTGATTAGACTAGGTGAGTGTTTCCCAAAGCTGGGGGTTAATGTTCACTGTGGTTTGATGCAAATGCTATGGATGTCTCAATGGGCAGAAAAAGAACCAAAAATATTATATTATATATTACATTATATATTGTTCAGACGCCTGTGAAGTTTCAGTTAGGTCATTACATTCTAAGAAGTTCAGAAGTACGCAGCGACTTCTAAAGTGTCGGTTCAGCTGCTAAGAATGACTTTTTAACTGAACCAGAGGAGTCAGCAAATCCAGCCTCCACCAGACGGCTCGTCAGAATTTGTGGATGGTTTTAATGTGCTTCATAGCTACAGTAACTAGATTGACAACAGCTGAGAGCCCTCTAACACAGTCTACAGACTCTCCTCTGTCCATCTCTGTTGTCTCCAGAGTCTGTCGAAGACACTGATAGGACAAACAAGCACTTTAGTAAATCAAATATGCTGGGGAGGAACTGGGAAAAAACATTAAAATCAGAGGTGGAAAGTAAACAATTTTTTACTCATGTCTGTAATGAAATCATCTTCATTCATGTAGAATAGACCAGCTCCTGGTTGTTGAGCTTTGGATGGACAGTGATACACCATCAAAATTTGCACTTTTTTGTTGCATTTTTTAACTTTTACTGAAGTAGCTTTTTTAGGTGAGTACTTTTACTTTTAATTGGGTAGAATTTCATCAAAGTACAGATACTTTTACTGAATTACATGGTTACTTTTTTCACCTGTAATTAAAATACACTTGACAGGGAATAAAAAAGAAGGGATCATAATAGGGGAGAGACTGGGTGATGTAGGAGTTCAGTCAAGTGAGACTCTATGGAAAGTTTTTGTTTTTTTAACAGAATATGATAAGTTGACGTTTCAAATCCTTTTTAATGAGTCATATATTCTCCAGAATTCACTGTAAAGGCAAAAGCCAGCCGACGTTTTCATCACTTTTATTAAGAGCTTGTGAAAGAGCCTTTGTGATGAACCAAGGTTGCTGTGCAAAGTACACAAACCCACAGAGAGAGACTCTGAATATGTGTGTGTTAGGAGTAATGGGTTTTTTTCTTTTGCTTGAATACTGACAACAGGCTGATGAAGCAACACTATTCAAATGAAAACAAAAAAAAAATCAACAGGGATTTTAAAAAGCTCCCTAAAAAGGCGACGTGTGCCTTAGTGCACGGTGCTGTCGTGGTCATTTACGCAAATGCTGCCAAACCAATATAATGCTGTGGTAACAGCCTTATCTCTGTGGCCCAACGGCCATTCTCTGACAGCTCATTCTGTTCAATGAAATGCAACAAAGTAAACTGCTGTGAAGAAAGTCTGGAGTTATCACCTTCAGGCTGACGCTGTGCTTCCATCCATCTGAACCAACCAAGATACTGTGATTACATTATTGTTCCTTCCCTGGAGTTTCATTTGTAATGAGTGTACTCGTTATTTTTCCTTATTAGATGTACACCAGGACTTTCAAACTCCTGGCTGGGGGACCACTTCTGGTCTGTCAACTCCCTACATCTGACCAGCAATTAAATGAATTAGTGAATGATAATTCAACTTTGTCCTTGAAGTAAAAATGTTAAAAAATATATTTTTGTCCTTAAAATATTTTAAAATATTTAATAATCTAAATTAAACTACATAATATAATATATATATAGATTGTATTTGTTTATTTATTCAAATGCTTTTGTGGTTTATTTAAAATTGAGAAACTAGAAAGATTAGTGCTGGCTGTTTTTACTTTAAACATTTAATATATGTTCATCATATATATATATATATATATATGTATATATATATATGTGTGTGTGTGTGTGTTTTCTTTGAGAATTGAACACTGATGTGTGAGCCCCACTACACTTCAAAGCTGCAAGTGAAAAGTCACCACGTGAACGTCATAAAATCCTACGACTCCCACCATTATTTAACTGGGACGATGCCATTAAATCGTTCTTGTCTCATTAACGATATCCATAATAAAACCATAAAAGTATACTCTCCCTCATTAGCCTTTGTGAAATATTCTGTATCACAGTGTAATGATATACTACAGTACTATGTTGCCATTTTTCTTTACTGTGACAGAAGTTGATGAACCACATTAAAAACTTTTAATGAGATATTGTGGCCAGTTTGTCCATGTGGAACTAATGTGGGTGAAACTGGGATTTATGGATTCATAATTGACACGTAATGAACTTGGACTAATTGTTTGGGCCACAAAGATGACTTCCTCCTTAGCCACGTATGGAAAATATTTACAGTTTACAATGATCAGATCGGCTGCAACCGACATGAAAATAATTAAATAATTCAAATACATCTCTCTCTCTCTCTCTCTCTCTCTCTCTCTCAACGTGAGGCCTTTCCAGTCCATCACTGACTCAGTGACTCAATCTGTTCTGGGCGAGAACTTCCAATAGTCAACGCGCAAACGATGAAAGTAGAAACTTCTCTGATAAAAGGATGATGAAAAAAACAATTTCAACTTGAAACAAACTCCTTTGTGATTGTTCCACTCAGACCTTTTTTCGCCGCTTCATCGCAGTTTTAGCGAGAGTTTATCAACAGAATGCAATCAGCCTTTGAGCAGAGTAACAGCAGCTGCCTCAGTCTGACAGTCAACTTTTCATCAAGTCTGAGGAGCAGAACAGAATCAACAGCACAGGCCCTGGAGCTGCTGAAGTCCTCGACATGTCCTTTGTTACACCTGGGGAATGTAGTCACCTTGATCTAGTGGAGAAATCTATTACCCCTGCCTGTGATCTGCCCTTTATTCTCTTTTTAAAATGACCAAAGTGTTTAGCCAGAAGGAAAAAAACGACTCTCCCAGGTACCTGCAGTAACACAAGAACCTTAAGGGCTTAAATGAGTTCTTTAAAATCAGCCTGGAGCACTGACACAGAGATAAAACTGGCGTCTTCCCAACATCAGATCTATTATTCATTAGTACACCTCTTCATCAAGCACAACAATGTTAGTCAGCCCATTCTGGTGTGTGTGTGTGTGTGTGTGTGTGTGACCGCACCTTCACTGGACCAAACACAGATGGTCAGAGCTTCAGGGGGAAAGGTTGGAAAGGTTGCAGAGACCACAAGGAGCCACACCAAAAAGATCAGGGTCCTGCTGCTGGAGTTGGAGCAGAAATCTGACACTGGAATGGAACAAAAAAAAAAGAAAAATTGTAAAATTGATTTTTTTTCCTACCGTATTCTTTTAATTGGTGCTTAGGGAGCAGTGGCCAGTTTAACAATTACTCTAATCTAATGATTTGTGGGAAGAAAATAAAATACAATGACAAAACCTTTATAGTTTTTCTTTTGCAGTTTTTGCCGTTATCATGCCTTATCACCAGCACTATGCAACATACTACTGTACATACATTTCCAATTTGAACAGTGCTTCCAAATTGTTTTGAGCTATAGCATATATTTTACATTCTAAAAATACCACAGCGCACTGCATGAAACCTGGATCTAACATGGATCGAAACACAACACAGCGCACTGTATGAAACCTGGATCTAAGTAGCTGAACACAACGCTAATATACTTGTTTTTACAGGCTTTGCTGACACCTTTAGGAGTATTTAATTATTCTGCCTGGTGAATTACTGTAGGTCAGCCTGTAACCAGATTATAAATGATAATGTCCACCCATATCCATCAGTCATTTCACCTAATTTCCTCTAAATGTGATCATAGTTGAAACAAATTCTATTAAACAGGGGCTATAGTGAAAGACCTCGGGGGAATGTTAACTCATGTTGGACATGTCATGTAGACTGTTGCCACTCCTTATTTTTGGTCTACTTGATGTCCAGTACTTTACAACCAGATGGCGGCAGTGAAAACCAACTCATTTTAGACACGAGAAGTCAGTCTGTGTGCAGCTTCAGTCTCTTCACTGAGACATGACAGCCTTCCCTTCACCCACACTGACTGAAGCCACAAAACATCCTGTTAATCAACCACATCCTCATCATACTCCCCCCTCCCACACCCCTATCCTCCCTCTCTCCTTCTCTACCTCTCTGATCTGTTGTCTCTTCTAAATGCGGCCCAGTTTCTGTCCTTTGTTCCGGGCAGCCTCACAACTCAGCACTGGTTCATTAGGACGCAGAGAACCGATCTGCAGCGATCAGGAAAAGTAAAAAAAACAACAAAAAAAACAGTGTCAGTATCATCCACCTGTTGTGTTTAAAGTAAAATGTTGCAGTTATCTGCTTAGGATGCGTCGATGGCATTTTCATGCTTTGCTATCGCTACAGTGAAGCTGTCATTAATAATTTATTACGATGCGTCTCTGTGGTAACTATTCCTTATCATCAAAAACAGGAACTAAAAAACACGATAAAAAGCAGGCAAAGTTCACTTTCTTGATATTTTGTGAAATTAAAATGGTCAAAATGTTTCGTTTTGGTTTCCGCAAAATCATGGCTTCATTATTGTACATTTAAAATTGACCAAACTGACATATTGACAGGAACAGCAGTGCCTAAAGGAAGCTCCTCATATTTATATGTCATGGGGAGGGGGAGGAGGGAGGAGGGTGAGTACACAACCTGGTCATGTAAACCCAGCCCATGGAGGGCTCACATCTACACATACAGTATGGAGGTCCAACTAATCAACAGGTTAGAGAATCTGGAGGAAACCACACACACAGAAAGCCCACTACCACAGGGGATCGAACCAGCGATATCTTTGCTGTAAGGTGGGATCCCTAACCACTCTTCCATCATGTACACTATATCTCAATAAACAATACAACAAAATGAAAACAAACTAAAATGTTCTTTCCCTCAAACTGTATCAATATTGTTGTGAGGAATCCCTCATTGTACTGTATTGTATATGTATATGTGTATGTGAGGAATCCCTCATTGTACTGTATTATATATGTAATACGTCTGATGACATCATCACAGCTGCTCACTGATATTCATTCTCCTGCTGGTTGGTGGATGACATGCAGACACTGGAATCTCATAGATTAGAGCTCGACAATGGACGACGAGCTTTGACTTGACAGGAAGAAAAAAACATGGAATTACAGCGGAGGTTCATTCAGGACTGGATACTTGTACTGTAGTAAAACACTGTGTAACGACACACTCCACTGTCTTCACACTGTTTTTCTCTCCTGCCTTTACATTCCAAACATTACAGTGATTCCTCTCTGCATTACGCTGCGGCTGCTGTTTTTGACAGGAGAGAAAAATGCTCGGTGCTCAACGACAAAAAACCCGAGTCCCCGCACCAGGGGTTTGACAGCACAAGAAACCACTTTCTAATTCATAAATATATATATATTTTTTACAAGTGTATCTGAATTTCAGTACGTCAATTTAAGAGTTAATTCAACTAATGCAACACAACTGTTTTATGTTATTTTTTGAATGTGAGCCACAGTGTTAGTTATAATAAGACTATGTGTTCTGTCAAATTAGATATCAATTATCATATTAACAAACAAACATAATAATGATGAACTGGTAAATAATCATAAGATTTAATCAGACTTAAAAACACTTTTAGGTTAATGATTGGCATCAGCCTTTCTAGGTTAAGCTTGAAATGTGGTTTTAAAAAAGAAGAGGTTTTGACACAAGTAAAGATTTATATGAAGTTTTTTTTTTAGGGTGATAGAAAACAGAGCAAATCCTGCTGTGTCTACTGGTGTCTTAGTGGTGAAGTCCATTTACTCAGTAATGGATTAGTTGAAATGACTTCCATGTAAATTGTTACCACTATCTTTTGCCACATTCACGAATAATTACTTTGTAATTGCTGTGTTACTTTCCTGTGTATCATGTGAATTTCTGGGTGTATTGATGAAAAATAATTTGGCCTGAGACTCACATTCAGATTGACAGAATGGGAAGTTTTCACACTGGACTCTGCTAATGCTCATATTCAAGCTGAATTTTTTTATTAATTTTTTTTTTACTTATTCAAATCCTTCTTTTTTTCTTTTCTTGCTCTAAAGCTCAGTGAGGAGCGAAGGCTGAGCACGAACTCTTACTTGCATCTTGAAATGCGCATGCTTTCTCTGCTCAGTATCACAAACACCTACATCCACACAGCATGAGAGACACAGCCACTCATAAAGACACATTATTCTCTCTGCTGGCACGGCCACAGCTCACAGCTTGGAAAGCTCTATAAGATTCTGTGGAAAATGAATGAAAAATGTTTGTGTTTGTGGAGAGGTAGAGGGTTTAATACTGACACTGAGTCCAAAATCAGTCATTTTCCATCCTATAATATTCTTAATACGACACTCATGCTGATTCACTACTTCGCTCAGAAACACAATGCTCCAAGTGTATGAAACTATTCTAAGGAGCAGTCAAAAAGCCCACAGTGTGACTCAGAGAAGCTGCTGCTGCTGCTGCCTTTCGTTGGATGGTTTGTTGCAGACGTGCACCGTTTCTGCCAGGCCACTGTTCAAACGTGGGGTAGAAACCATGGACAACCATACAGGAGGTCTGTAGGTGAGTTCAGTTCATGATGTAAATCATGTTTGTAAAATGCAGCTTATATTTGTATGAGCAAACAATGTGTCCACGTACACCACTGTGGAGCCCAGTCCAGGTCAATATCTGATTTTATTAACCAGCACACATTGAGACACATCTGAGACATCTCCCAGGTGTCTCCAACCACCTCTGCTGTGTTTAATCTGATCAATTTTCAATTTGGTGCAAAAACATTTTTAATCAAACATGACTAGGAAACAGTAAAAATGACCAACGCTTGCAAAGAGGGTTTTCTTCTAAAACAAACTGTACTAAAACTAAAGAACATTAGAAAAATATTGATTTCAGTCACAGGCGAAGAAGCAGGTTGGGACCAAACACAAAATCTGCACAGAAGGAATTTTCCAAAGAAAAAGACACTTATACAGCAGTTATCTGGTATTATGTACTAGATACTATATGATTATACACTATCAGGACCAATATCAAGTCCTGATTAATTGATTAAAGTCCCTTCCTGGTCAATGGAAGGGCTCAATGGGGGGGGGGAACCCAATGGAAAATGAATGTTTACTGTCTAATTGCATGTGCTGACAAACCTATATATAAACAAGGAGACTGACAAAATGCCAGAATAACATAACAGTCCTGGCCTCAGGGTTTAAAGTGGCTCCAAAGTCCACATGCACCAGAATTTTCCCACGTTGTTGCTTTAACAAGTGGGATCTGTGAGCTTCACCCCCTCCCCCCCAAAAAAACCCCAAACAAACCCAAAACTTCAAAATAAAGGTTTTTGACACAAGTATTGTCCAGTGACCCACAGTAAATTAATAAAACCTACTTTTGTTGTTATTTAAAGAAAGTAAAAAGGTTGGACACACTCACCTTGACTTGACTTCACATCCAGATGAGGTTTCCAGGTGGATTTGAAAAAAGGAACTAAAGTAGGAGAGAGAAAAAAACAAGAATAAAACAGGTGTGTAAAAGATAGTAAAAGTGTAGTAACACAGTTGACAGCGTTCTGCAGCGCCGCACTGACATGTACACACACGCGCTGTGTACGCTCTGAGGGAGCTGCACCTCCACAACTGAGGGAGAGACAGGGCGAGAGAGGGCGGAAGAGAGGAGAGAGAGGAGGGGAGAGGAGGATGGCTGTGTGAGTTGCTCACGGGGCGTCCAATGAAATTACATTACTAGGTCTCGTCACGACAGAAAAAAAATGCTGTCAAATGATGTGAGCTCCACCGGAGAATCCCCCTCCAACGACACCGCTACGGAAAATAAGATACAAACAACGAAAACACATCTATGACGTATGTCGTTTGATTATGAAACTTTACCAATGACGATGTAATATCCGTTTTCCTAAATATTATAAATTTAAACTTAATTAACTAGGGTAGTATGAAGTAGAATAAAAAAATTCCACCAAATAAATCCTACGACTTCTGAATTCCTTAATTCTCCTGCAGTGCTTTTAAAATCATGGTACACGCAGCACTTGGTGATACTTTGGCTCCCTCTAGTGGAGAATAGCATATATACGCATGCATCTCGAGACAGTCTACCTATTTTGTCTTTTACCTACCTAATCTTTTTGGTACGTTTGTCGAGCTCTTTATGCATCTCGAGACAGTCTACCTATTTTCTTTTTGGTACGTTTGTCGAGCTCTTCCAGATTTGATAACCTTCTAGCAGGGACCGTTACACTGTTTTCTACGCTTTTTGGATGCACTATTTATTTGTACTATTAGAATTTCCCTGCACGTAGGTGTTCTTAAAACGTCAAATGATGCCCCTTACTCCTGTGTAGGTGTACTCAGTTTCTTGTCTCTTGCTTCTATGTGTGTAAATTTCTTTTTTTATTTAAAAAAAGTAGAATGTTTAAATACCCAAAATGGCTTTTAGCATGGTCTTCAAACGTATTCGAAAATGACGATTCTTCACTACCACCTGCTGGGCAAATTTACGAATTGCATATTTTTGGTGAGTTTTAAAAACTACGTATTATCAAAAGGGAGAGAATAAAAAAGCGTTTATAATAAAATGAGTAGAATAAAAGAACATATGATATATGATCCTCTATGATCCTAAGAATCACGATGGAACATTTCTGCAGTGTGAAAGACTCTTGTCTGAATGAGTAGCTGTTCTATCACTGAAGGCTCCCTGCTCAAGGACTCGCCGTCACAAAGAAAACCTTTCAGAGACAGTCTGCCTAACAGCAGCAGATTACGTGTGAAAATGCTTTTTTTCTCTTGATGCAGCCAAGATGGTACTGTAATCTTTACAAAATAGAGAGGTGAATTATGTTACACAGGCAGCACAGTGTTTAAGGTGAACTCTGTGCTGAATTTTGAATGTGGAAAAATAAACTGAAGTTAACTGAGGTGGAAAAATCAAAGCTTTTATCTGTGTAGCATCTTGAAGAAAAAAACTGCTGCAGAATAATCTTTTTGTGTAAAGTGGGAACGCTTTGAAGGTCGTTTCTTTATTCATCAACAATGAGCTGTTGGTGCCTTACGTAAGAGCATGACTGTGCAACACATGAGAGTTTTTAGTGGAGATAAAATGATGGAAACAAGAGAAAAAACATCTACTGATGCTGTTCCTGAAATGGACTCTTGTGCAGATCTACAGTATCTGTCTCCTGCTCATCTCTGTCACTCACTGCTGCTGTTTTCTGGATATAGAGTATATCAGAACTTTTAGAGAATAGAGAATTTTATATTTTATCATGCATATCGATATTTTTGGGTGTGTACTATTGTTGGAAATATGCAGTATCCTGTCCCTCTCCTGTAGGTGTTTAACATGAAATAAACTTTATTTTAGGATTTTGATTATCAAATTCTTCACTGAAGTCTACATTACATAGGTCTAACAGAGAAACTGCTTAAAAGTACTATATTATTTTTACTTTAACTGTACAGCCTCTTCAATCATGTTGCTTTTTGCAGCTGACACCTCCAAACAAATAAATAAATTATCCCAACCATTAAGAAGATTAGTTAAACACATTAATTTTATTTTTTATTATTTAAATAAAATATAACCTTGACACCAGTGGCTTTTTTTTTTTAATTTAAGACTAAAGTCATCTGTCTCATCTAAATTTATGGACATAATTAAAGGTTACTAATTTACCAGTAGAGGGCAAATACCACTTATCTATTAATCCACAGGTAAATATCTATAAATAAGTGTATGTAAGCTAACATATTAACTGACCGAATGTTTTGAAAAATATGATTTTGAAAATATTTTGTAGATATTTGGACTACTTTTTTTAAAACATTTTTTAAAAACATATAACTGAGATATGTGCTGAAGTTTATCCGTGAAGGTAGTAGCAGTTGATTCCAAAGAAGTTGTGTTTCCTCCCTGTGATGTTGTGTCTCAGGTTGACAGGAGGACACGGGTGAGTTGTGTTAAATCTGTGATGTGCTAATGATTTACTGAATGAATTCTGCAGCTCCAGGAGGCTGAGAGCTGACTTTTCTCTTCCTATAGTCTTACTTCTTTCTCCTGTGTGAATGCCAGGTAGGACAGCCGGCCGTGATGGGTTACAGGTGGTGGAGGATTCTTTGACTGGAGCAGACTGGCTGCAGCTGGAGGAGTTTCTGTCTACGTTGAAACACTGCTTTTGAAAATGGAGATCATCTGTGATCCTCTCTCTGCTGACACCTGCCTCCCTGGGGTACGGACCCAGAGGACTGTCCAACATCCAGGCAGCGTTCGCCTCCATGTTGTTCTGTGATGAATGACAGTCATTGAACATAAGTGAGGAATCCTGGTAGTTGTGCTGAGCCTGTGTGTGTGAGACATCTTGTAACAACTCCTCCTCCAGTGCGTCAGAGCAGCCACTGGAGTTCTCCATCTGACTCTGGCCCTTTGAATGTAGACGTGGTGACTCATTATGCTGATCTGTGATCTCATGAGGTCCGAGTTGAATCAGAGTACATGGATCTTCCTTCAGAGCCGACAGTGGATTCTGGAGTTCAGCAGCAGTGGTGGGAGTGAAGGGGCTCCTCCCTACATGGACTGACATCTGGTTTCTTCTTCTACCTGCCTGCTTTAATCCAGAGGAAAACAAACGCTGTATGAGACCTCTGTCTCTGGGGCAACACAACTAGGACTAATTAAGGCTATAAGGTTGAATCTGCCTGGTTCATTGAACAGTGTTTTACCAGAGATGAGGGATGTGATGTCAGAGAGGGTTTGTCCATCTTTGTCTTGAAGTGATTCATCTTCAGAGGGGTTGCTTCTAAAAAAGAAAAACTCTCTCTTTTTTCAAACTTCCTGTCTATAGTAGTAATATATAGGTAATCAATATTATATAAATACATATTAGTAAGCAGAGCTGGCTCTAAGAACAGGTCACATGGGCAGTCGCCCCATGGCACCACCTGCTGGACGGATTGCAGATGCATGATAAAAAAAAAAAAATCTACAGCCTTACATGGCGTCCTTTCCTCGTGTTTATCTTGAAAATAAAAACCAAACCATAATGTTCCTTAAAAAAACAAGTCTCGGGTCAGTTATACTTGTTGGTATAGACTGGGTCACAGCCAAATGAACACTGTATAAATAAACCATAGTCAGGTCAAGACAATCGTATTTGTATAGACCAAATTCACATTTTGCTTCCACCGACTTTACGGTTTTTAAATTAGAATTAAGACTTTCTTTTATTAAAAAAACAAATCTACCACAGGAGAAAAATGGGGGGAATGTATATAAAGTCAATAATATATTAAGAATTGGAAACGCAGCAGAACGAGTTTCACGAATATTACTGAAAACCAAATTAGATCAAACACTGAGCAAGCATTTTGGCAACAGCGGGGAGAAAAAGACTCACTTTTAAAGGCAAGAAATTTTCATCAGATCCAGACTTGGTTTTCAAGCGTCAGTTTCAACAAAGAGAGGAAAAGTGGGAGACAGCAGAGAGGAGAGCAATGAGGGGGTACGAGGGGGACTCATGATGCAACACTTCCAACAAGTCACATAACACTGGTGAGAAATTCTCCCACCTTATATTAACTGTTTTTTTCTTTCTGCAGAAATGAAAAATACAAAAAAAAAAACATTTAAAAGTAATTTGATTTTAGACAAGGGTGATGGTGTTGTTAAAATACCTGCATAGTGCACTCGATAGGAGGTGGTCCATTGGTCTCTCTCTTTATTTTTGTCACTTGTTTGTCCAAACAAAGACAAGTTGCGGTCCTGTGGTCCAGCGTTGGACAGCACTGTCACGGTAGGAGTGATGTTTGATTCTCTTTTTTGTTCTTCCAGGGACTTTGTTCCCTGGACCAGAATTATTACGAGTTATTATCCATGTTGTTTTATGCTGATGACTGTGTGATGTGGTTTTTACTACTCACATCCATAGAGTTGTTTTGTCCGTCCTTCCAAGTAACAGACTCTTTTCTGCTCTTCACTGGGGAAGTCCAGATTTCATGCCTGTACGGAGCTCCTTCCATGGGGGAAACAGCAGAATAAAGGCAGATTTGAGGACTTTTTAGGTACGATGTTTTTCCAATATTCCTAACATATAGTCCTTGTACCATAGGTTTTGCTTCGCAGGTTAAAGTGTTGTGCAGTATTTGGGATCTGGGGACTTGTCAAAGGCCGCAAGTCTCTTCTGATCGCTGACTCAGAGACGTCTGCAGGATGGATGGATGGGAACATTGCAAACCGGGAAATGTGGGATGAATAGGGATGTTCCCTTAGAGTTGGAATTTTTGACATTTTCTCCCTGTTTCACAGATAAAAAAATATATAACAAACATGAATTTTAGTTTAGAGTTTCAACTGAAATCGACAGAATTCTTCCTGTTCATCAGTTTTTAATAATTTGAGAACTCACGCTACATTTACATCTGTTGGATTTGGGATACTGAAACCAGAAACAGAATATCTTAGTGAACTCATGTAGTTTTATTTTACTACAGTATGTAGTAACATATAGTACTGGGTACTCACAGCTGGTCATTGAGACGGAGTTTATGTTTCTTCATGCTGTCACTTTTAAAATGCTGGCAGTCAGCAGGCCTGTGAAGACAAATATATACATATATACATATATATATATATATATATATATATATATATATATATGTATATATGTATGTATATACATATATATACACATACAGTACATGTATATATACATACATACATAATTTTAATTTTTGAAGTAAATAAAACACTTCTCTTACCGTCTTTTGTTTGGACTGAGAAATTGTCAAACTTTCTGTTTGTATCCCCCTGAAGCAGCAGCGACAGTGCTCACATCGGTCCAGATGAAAAAAAAAGGTGAAGACTGTAAAGATGTCACTGACAGAACTGGACTCCCTCGTTGGCAGGTGTCAGGTGATGCAAGAGCTGGAGTGACAGTGTTACAATTAACAATAGGTCCAGTGGGAGTGACACATAATCCAACCCATGACACTCACCCAAGTGTGTGAGTGGAGGTGTAGCCTAGGAAGCAAAGGAAACAGGAACAGTGTCTTAGCTTGAGTTCTGTAAACATGATTGAATTATTTTCATCAAACTCCTGGTCCTGTCATCACTGACTGTCAGAGTCTGAATTGTCATAATCACTGGACAATCACTGCTCACTGCTGCTATGGCCCAGTCATCAGGACGCGATGTGATAATGTTACCTGTTCACAGTTCAGTGAACTCATACAACTCTGCCTTGAGAGGAATGGAATTGGAGCTGACACCAGATAAGAGTGAGCAGCTAGTGTGAGGTTTCAGGTCTCCTGTTTCATTCTCCACATTCTGTTGTAACGTACAAATGGTTATACATTCTGACCCTCCAACTCTGAACACAGGCACAAAATATGTGTTACATTTAAAGTTTTCTAGGAGGAGATCTCCAGTAATTCAGTTTCTAACCAACTTAGAAACTGTACTACTACACAATTAAAATACCTAGTTAACACTATTGCATTTTTTTAAACATGTACAAGAATTAGAATTTTTTTTCTAAGCGGGTTTCACAAGCCATAACTGCATAGACAGGTACTTACACAGAATTCTAAAATATTTATTGCACCTTAAATGACCACAACTGGTAGACATACTGTGCTTCAGGTATTTTCTTCATAACAAAAATACATTTTAACAATATAAACTGCTTTTAACTCTCGTAATGTACATACTGTATTGTTAAAATATTTTCTTAAATTAAAAGTAAACGGTTTAACCTTTAATAAAATGCTTTAGGTCTGTAGCATATTAAATAAATCAAACCTTCACAGAACTGGCAAACATACTGCACTTAAAGTATATTCATAAACACTAGAGCACTAGCTCTAACTTTGTTAGCAGGCCTAACGTTAGCCACACCCGGCTCGCTCTTATCAACAGTGTCAACATCCGTGTATTTGGACAATAGTTTTGTAGAAGCATGTACAACTGAGATATGCTTTATTATATTAAACTTTAGATTAAAGTTGGACGTGGACACACAGTTTACTCCGGGACATAATGTACGCTTAAAATGTACATTGTTGCCTTTTACCTGTAGGACATTGAGGTAGTGCCTGTACTTCCGTTTTGAAAACGCCAACTTTCCCTCCAGACTCGCCATTGCGGCCACTTGCCTCTGCTAGTCTGAGGCGTGTGAGCCGGCTGTCTCTGATTGGCTTACCATGAAAGCGTTCTCTGCCCTAGCCAATCATCATCGATTATGCAGTTGTGTCGTCCCTCCCTCCTCCCGCACCAAAAACAAAGTGGAAAAAGTGGAAATAAAAGTGGATTTTCTTGGGGAAATTTAAACTCTTCCCGAGGATTTCTTAAATTTAATAATCTGTGGTAGTTTTTATGTATTTTTTCAATTTAAAGCTATTATAGTTATATATTTTATTCTCCAATTTTAATATTAACATTAGATAATCAAAAATTAAAACAAAATATTGTAATATGAAAATCCTGTAAAATGAAGGTCCCAAGTAATCTGTTACGAGATTTCAATGCTTGACTTTAGAATGAAATTCCTGTATATTTTCAAACTTTTCTTTTGGATCTGGGGCAGGTTTGTATTATTTAAATTGCTATTTAAAAAGTCAGAATATTAATACAAAAAATTCATTTTCAAAATAATAGTTAGAGTCAAAAGTGTGTGTATGTGTGTGTGAAGGCGAGAGAGTGAGTGGGAGAGAGAGAGTGAGTGGGAGAGAGAGTGAAAGTGTGTGTTTCATATTTAAAAATCTTTATTGGTTTAAGTCAGAGATCGTTAAACCTTCTCTTTTATCAACACCAGAGGATACATTTTTACAGAATATTTTAATATGAAAAGGCTTTAAAATTAAAGTCCCATAAAAAATCTGTCTTCAGATTTCAGTATTTGACTGTAAAATTAAATCAATGTGATCCAATAGGATTTAATGAAGTACAAATCCGTCTTTCTGCATCCTGTTATAAATGAATAAACCAAAACAGGACAGTACACCTGATCTGCTCTGCTCTGCTGGAGAAAATCTAAAGCTGCACCTTAATCAGACTTGTCAATCAACATAAGGCTCAGGTTGGTGATCAACACAGCGGCTTCCCACGGACATGACATGAACTGCTTTCCAAGCAGCAAACCCTGCCTTGTTTGTTGCCCCTCACAAGAAACACATTCTGCATTCTACTTTAATTGGTCTTCCCAAGAGAGCTTGTCCAAAGTCTCTGCAAAACACCAAAGTGCTATCAAGCAGCCAGGGCGAAATCCAGTAAACCAATTACCCTGTTCTGCCCCAGAGGAACCGCTGCTCTCCGGATTACATTTCCTGCTGCTGCATTATAAATGTGCAGCAGCCAGCAGTGATTTCCCTAACATAATGTTATTGTGCAGATTCGGATTGATGCCCAATGCCTACGGGACTCTCACAGACCATGTTCAAACTAATCTGCAGTCAAAACTATACCTTTTCAATAACATCCCAAATACTCTGATGAATCAATTCACTTCTTTGTTGAAGAGAATTTGCTTTTATTCCATTCATGTTGTAAATTGACAGTTTAACTCCACTGGGTTATAATCCCTGTCAAAGCCCCAAATAAAGCTTTAGGCACCAAAGATTCTCATAATGCCGCTGAGCTTAAGTCCAAGTGTGTTATGCATCTATTTACCGTGGATTTCTGCAAAAAACAAGTGTTGGAAACTAAATCTATTTGAAACATGTTTGTGTATTTAATCAATAAACTAATTTCAATATTTGCCATCCAACATGGGAGTTTGTGGAACTTTTTAAAAGCATAATTTCAAACCACATAAATCAAAATCAATAGAGGATGAGTTTTGTTCCATGAAAGCAACTGTTGCACATGAGTAGAGTTTGCCCTTTAATTATTCATACACTCACACTAGCCAATACACAATACTTGCTGTACTTCTTTGGGTTTGAATACAGCTTTTAGGTTTTATCACTGCCACCTACTGGGGCTGTTCTCACCCTGCGATATTTTCCAACCTGACACAGTGATGATGCAGTGGTAGAACTCTAACATCCTGTAGGTCAGGGTAAGAGTCCACGGACCGCCACATCTACAGACACCTACGCAAAGGACATCAAGTGTTAACAAAAAAAGAAAAAAAAAACTAAATCAATATGTGAAGAGTAATATGAAGGTCACCCCAGGATGGAAGAAAAAGAGACAAAACGACAGCATTATTTAAGGAAATGTAAAGCCTACTAAAGATCTTTAGTGTCCATTATTTTGTGTGGTTCTGCAGCTCAATGTGAGAAAATACATGTGGCTTTTTCCATCTGAGATTGTTTTGTTTTTTTTAATTGATATTTTCATCCTGAGTACTGACAGGCATGTGTTGGAATGTTTGGCCTTGACAGAGAAATGGTTTCTATAGAACAGCAACACTGCTCCATCAATTCACCAATGCTCTGTGTCCCTGAGTGAGAGGGAAGAAAAGAACTGTTTCATACCTTCACACATCCATCCATCTATCTATCAACATATCTATGTATCTTATTTTTAATTTAAAAACTATCTTCATCAAGACCTAATGGCATAATTTCCTAATTTAACAAGACTCTATTTTAAAGAATAAACTATTTATCCAAATTAACCAATTATAGGAGTAGAATATTCCAAGGACCACTTAATGTAGTTAAAAAATAAACGTTATCCAAGGACTATTAAAATAAAAAAATGAAATTATTTTATAATGATTTTTAAAGACCTAGTCAAAAATAAACAAAGACTAAAATTGTAGCTCAATCATTACTAAAAGTAAGACAAATTACAGCGTTAAGGTTTTCCCAAAATGACTGAAAACGCCCATGTGAGAACAGGAGTAAAATCCTAGCTAGATATTATGTCTAAAATTCAAAAATCCTACCTCGGTATATACTTCAACATTACTGAGCAGCACCATAGAACAGTGAGGTTCTGTAACTCATACATGAGTTCAGTTCATTTATACTGCAAACGAAAAATTTGCGTGTGTGTATTGTTGTAGTAAAACATCAGGTTGGTGCTGTGTTGTGATTGGCGCCCTGCAGAGTGTCTGTGGTGCTGAGGAATATAAAGAGAGTGAACAGTGCCCTGCACTTTCTTTCCTCCTTCTTCTCTCTGATTTCTATGGAGATATAAAGAGATATATAGGCGCCGTTTGTCTGTACAGCACAGATACTACAGCTTGACTGACAGGTCCAGCTTCCTGTTTCAGACGTTTTCAAATAAATGGAATTTCACCAAGATGAAAACGAGTCTTCTGGATTCAGAGTTTAGGGACTGGGCACTGTTCATGGTCAGGCTGAGGTCTGACTGATTGCAGAAGTAAATGTTTTAGGGACAACACTTTTTGGACAAGATCTGCTGCAGCGGCATCCTCCAACCATCCTCCAACCATCATCCAACCTGCTCCAACAAGTGCAGCTGCAGGGACTTCAGTGCCACCCCTGCCCTCACACCCTCTCTCACAATGACAACATTTGACTTTTCGGACGTGGAGGCGTTTCTTGACTGTCACCCTGACCTCTTCGAGGCGTACTTGATCCGAAAGGCGAAATGCGACCAGGTTAGCAGGTGGTTGAAGGAGCACCAGCCGTCGAAGGGCAGCGCAGCCGAGGAGAAGCGCGGCGCAGTCTGGGACCCGCTGTGGTCGAGCAATCCGGACGGACTGCGGCGCAGATCGTCCCACATGGAGCTGCGCCGCAACTTCGCCAGGTCCAAAGCCACCACTGCGCACCGCACCTACGACGAGCATGTGAGTCTGAGCGAACACGAGTCCCAGTCCAGCATGAGGCGCCGTGCGCTCCTGCGCAAAGCCAGTTCCCTGCCACCGACCACAGCACACATCCTGAGCGCGCTGCTGGAGTCCCGGGTGAATGTGCCCCAGTACGCGTCCAGCGCCATCGACTACAAGTACCGGCTCAAAGAAACCAACGAGAGAGAGTTCTTCCTGGAGTTAGTGAAGGACATCTCCAACGATTTGGACCTGACCAGCCTGAGCTACAAGATCCTGATCAACGTCTGCATCCTGGTGGATGCAGACAGGTGTTCGCTATTCCTGGTGGAGGGACCGGCTCATAAGAGGACACTGGTGTCCAAGTTTTTCGATGTGCACTCAGGCACCACAGTCAGACCATCCTGCAACTCACTCAACTCCAATGAGGTGCAGGTGCCCTGGGGGAAAGGCATCATTGGTTATGTGGCAGAGCACGGAGAGACCGTCAACATCCCGAATGCCTATGAGGTAAATATGTCAACATGACCTTCATTTATGTTATTATATATAAATATTTCACCTGTGGTTGGACTGAAAGGGGTCTGCTTACACTCTGGTATAGACAAACAATAAAATAAATAAAAAAATAATAAAACAATAAAATAAATAAACACAACAGATGACACATGAGCTAAAAAAAAAAGAAAATTCACAATAAATAGTAGGGAGAAAAAACCCTGAGTAGGTAGATTGGTTAAGGTTTACACACAATAGTGTCAACAGTTGTTGATTATATACTGACTGATTCAGTATTGATCATAGGGACTGTGGAAAAAAAAAAAAACTTTGCACAAAAAAATTGTTCACTCACGATCAAAGAGTTGTTTGTAAGTTCTTTTTTTTTGCTCCCGGTTCACTGATGTTCTGCTCGTTAGAACGTGAAACACTTTGTTCTGTGCAGAGCGATAAACCTTCCAATAAATAAGAACAGGCTCATTGTGGGTTCAATCATAACAGAAGAAAACCTTTACTCGGTTCTAGTCATGGCAAAATCACAGGAAGGCATGCATTATAATTCTCATGAGCTATATCTCGTGTTGCATACACTTGCAGTTGTGCACCACATCATCATTAAATCATGGCCCTGGGCTGCTTGAGAGGCTAAGGCAACACGATGATGAGGATTCCCCTGAGATCTAGAGCCATTACTGCAATAGTGCAGAAACCTGTCATGGAGAGTGTTATAGGCTTTGTCTACAACAATGGTTCTCCTCCTTCACAACACAAGATTTATAGTCACGTGGTCACACACACCTATGTAAATATGGTCATAACAGAGGTCACACAGGGCAGTAAGGTGATCCCTCATGGTGTTTATTGTGTGTTTGTATTGAACAGTGAATCTTCATTCCACCCCTAGTGTCAGACATTACCTCTACTGGTAATGTATTTTTTACTGCATTCAATACTCTTCTCTTTTTCATATTTATAATGTTCAACATACATTTGTATATATATGTGTGTATATATACATACGTATATGTACATTTGCATGGATATATATATACAGTCGACTACAGTAACACATTTGGTACGTGCATCAGTACAACGACCGGACAGTTTTATTTCATCAACCTATCACAGTGTTAGGTCTTGTAGTTACACATAATTTAACATTAACCTCACACGGGCCGGTCAGAGACAGTCAGAGGGCAGGATGTGACCCGCGGGCCGTATAATGACCAGGTCCGCTTTAGACAGTGCCACTGACTCCTGCAGGCCTCTATCATAACATATCTCACCAAAGTGGCCCAGCTGTGGGACTGTGAATGATGATGTGGTTGTCACGTGCATCCCCTCTCCCCTCTCCCCTCTCCCGTCTTCCCTCCCCCAGGACCACCGCTTCAGTGATGAAATAGACAAGTTAACAGGTTACAAGACTCAGTCCATCCTCTGTATGACCATCTGTAACAGCGATGGAGAAGTCATCGGTGTTGTGCAGGCAATCAACAAGAACCCCATGGGCAGCCACTTCACAGAGGATGATGAGAAGGTGAGAATCCCGAGTGCTTCTTGGTTATTACCGTGGCTTTGTCGCCTTCACATGGATTTTATTGGCTATTTGTCATTTGTTTCTCCTGTTTTATTGGACTTGTCGTGACCATTAGGGGCGCTTTAGAGATGGAGTTAAAATTGTATTTTTTGTGTGGAACTGTGCACTCACTTGTTCCTCCTTTCTCACCACTGCCATCATCTCACACACACACACACACACACACATTGGCAGCTGAAAACACAGTTTGTTCTTTGAATCTTTTTAATGGCTCTGCAGTAGGGGCAACGTGTTCCCTTGGAAGCAAATTACTAGGAAAAAAAATGAAAAGAGGAGGTCAACACCTTCGCTTGAGTGGGAAGCATTAAATATGTCTGGAGGTGCAATATATAGACACATGCTACAAGGAAATACATTTTGAGTGGGAAGAGTGTCAATTACTCCCCTGAGCAACTTGAAATGAGTTTACTAGAATACTGCTGTATTACACTTTTATTTACAGTTCTACTCCTTGGAAACTCAAAATAATCTCTCCCTGTTGAGCTGTTGATGAGCAAATTATATATCGTGAGTTCTAAAAGTGCCCGTCTTTTAGCAAAGCGATTAAAAAACAACACCCTGCAGTGTGCATTAGATTTACTACAGGTTTACAAACACAAATACATAACATGAGAAAATACACAAAGACGGGGTGGGTGGATTCTCCAAAACTGCAGCCACACTAGGGAGCAACAATTTGTCCACCAGGTGGCGGAATAAAGCAGTGGAAATTACATTCATGTAGTATGTGTTTGGACTTGTGCCACAAACAAATCGAGTTGGCTGCATTTTTGTGTCTTTGACAGATCCCAAAATGCAGCCAAAGCAAGGCAGCTTCACAACCGACTGCCAGGGAACAAAGACGCTGAAATCCTTGATCTGTCAAGTCACCCAGACATTTGAAAGCCTTTCATGTTTCAAATACAAGCCATCTCTCAATCAATACTTCATTAACTCAGAGAGGAATTTGTACAGAGCAGCAGCTAACTTCATCATGGCTTTTCTACCCCGACAACAACACACTGTTCTCTCCTCTCTCTCTCTCTCTCTCTCTCTCTCTCTCTCATGCCTTATTCTGCGTATGAATGGCTCTCACTCCTGAATTATGAATGCATGACTTTGACCGTTTTCCCTCCTGTGTTGAATGTAGGTGCTGCAGATGTATCTACCATTCTGTGGGATATCGATTTCCAATGCCAAGTTGTTTTCTGAGTCTCGCAAAGAGTACGAAAGGAGCAGGGTGAGTCGTTATATGCCGTGCAATATGTGTAATTAGGATTTTAACTTGTTTTGTAGCCACTGGGAAGCTGTAAACCTTAGTACTGTAGAGGACTTTGTCAAGTAAAGACAAAATAAAGAAACGATTAAAAATGAATGACAAGCTCATCTACTAGTAAACAGACGTTTTGTTGTAGCAGAATTTGTGGATTTAAAGATTTGAAATTGGGGTGGCAAACATACAGCCCGTAGCCCAAAACCAGCCCACTAGGTGGTTCAATCCGGCCCGCTTGATGAATTTTGAAAGTAACCAAAAAAAGCACAAACACTGTATTCATTTTATGTACACGCTAACGTTCTGGCCCTTCACTGAATCCTTGGGATCCAGCCAACTTTATGTCCACTTTGCTCGTCTTTCACAGAAAATAATCTGTCCATTTTTTTCCTCCACAATTTTTGTTTTCCCACAATACATCTGTGTTCTGACGGGTATGTGATCCTGCTGGTCATGAATCAGGTACAGTCGACCAACACAACGTTTTTGTTTTATACTGGTTTACTCCTTTAACTCTGCCCTTTTGAACGACGGAAGTGAAGACTCGTTTATGTGGCTTTAGGGGACGTACAGTATGAATGGTTCACTATATGATTTTGGTCCGGACTCGTTTTCCTCAGGCTCTGCTGGAGGTGGTCAACGACCTGTTTGAGGAGCAGACTGACCTGGAGAAGATCGTCAGGAAGATTATGCAGCGAGCCCTGACTCTGCTGCAGTGTGAACGCTGCTCCGTTCTTCTGCTGGAGGACATTGACTCACCTGTGAGACACAGAGCTCTTTATTAGCATTCTCTCATACAATTGTTTTTTTCACTACAGGGTGTAGATATGGATGTGCATAAATTATTGAGTGTGATCTCTTTAATATGTTGAATTCTGCTTAAAAATACTTCATGGTATTTTACTAGTAAAGTGGTTTTCAAAATGGGGGGCAGGGCCTCAAAAGAAAACAGAGCTACAGGGAGAGGTCCCAGCCAGACAAAGGAATTATTTAAAGTTTGTAATTAGGATTTTTATATTTAAGTTGGAGATTTGAAGTGACAGCCGTGGATCATTTGAATTTTCAGCTGTATTTCTGGACATGTAAACCAAAAAGATATCATTTCTTACAGGTTGTGAAGTTCTCAAAGACGTTTGAACTCATGTCGCCCCTGTGTAACCTGGACCATGACATCAGGTAAAAGTATGGCACACTCTACACAGACGAGGCCTGTTGTTAAATCTAATCAAATGTTTTAATTACTTGGCTTATGTTTCCTGTTTATGTCATCCACAGCATGGAGAAACTCTCATGCTCTGATTGGTTGATTAATAACAGTATTTCTGAGCTGGTGGCTTCTACAGGACTTCCTGTAAACATCAGCGATGTATGTCAGGACCCACGCTTCGATGCTGAGGTACGGAGGCCACGGCCTTCATGTGAGAAACCTTTGAGATGTTTTTGTCTGAGTCACCAGAGTAGTCCTACTGCCTTTAGTGGTACTACACTCCTGCCTCACAAGCAGATCCTGGGTCCTGGGTTCGATCCCCAGAAGAACCACGTATGCCTAATGTTCTCTACAGTAGATGTTCTTCATCTCTGCCATCTCCACAGATCTAGACAGTGTCTATGTATTTGTTTTTAATCCAACAGTCCAGTGTAGCAGGTCTAGCTGACATCTTATAAACTACATCAGTCCTGAAACTCTTCTTCTTCACCCACACCACCCTGACGTTTTCATCATCTCCTTTTTTTTCCTGTGTTGTGCAAATGCTAACACCGCAGTAGTGGTCCCCGCCAACAGGATTTTTTTTTTTACAGATTTTAATGAACTGTAGTGTATTGACTTGTTAGAACATGACTTCAGGCTTGGTGGACCTGGTCTGATTATGGTTGGTTTTTTTTTTTACTTAAAAAGTGTGAGACATTGAAATCACCAGGCTCATTAACAGGAAATACATCAGCATTAGTTTTAAAGTCATGTGACACACTAAAATCACAGCAGACACAGTTGTTATTCTTGGGAAAAATACTGAATGAAAATATTGTTCCATTTGGATCCTGTAGCCCTGAAATCGAATTAACATCAGAACTAGGACACAGGGAGAGGAGACAGAGCAGCTGCAGGGATACGGAAGACTTTCACACAGAAACTGTAAAATAATGGAATTCAGGAGCAAGGCAGTGCCCTCAAAAGACTATAGGCTGGAGAACGGTAGATTTCTTATAAAAGTACACTGTGATGGCCTGGTTGAAGTTGTGTGCTCAGATTTGAAAAAGTTACCAGGATGTAAGGATTTCAGATGACTAGAATAAAAAGAGCAGTAACATGTTCCCGTATATGGATTTTTTTTTGTCTTTACAGGCAGATCAAGCCTCTGGGTTTCACATCAGATCAGTGCTGTGTGTTCCTATTTGGAATCGAACGCATCAGATAATTGGTAGGTTGACCAGAAACAATCCATTTGCACTGAGTGCAGGGAGACGACTACTCATGTTGTCATCACTAAAGCCTTGTGTGTGTGTGTGTTTGTGTGTGTGTGTGTCCACTCCACAGGGGTCGCACAGATTCTGAACCGACTCGACAGGAAGACTTTCAACGATGCAGATCAGAGACTGTTTGAGGTTAATTAAAATCCACTCACATTCGAGTTAACCAAGCTTTGTTGTTGTGATGAGCCTGGCTGCACAAACACCTCTTAATGAACAAGAAGGCAACATTTTCTTCAGAATTATATATAATTGGCCCTAAAATCTTCAGTAAAATACAGTCTTTTTCCAGTTTCACTGCCTCGTTCTTAGGGCTGGAGCATGAATTGAATTTTAGAGTGACACTGACACAGGAAGTCATCAGCAGTAAAACAAAGCTGTGGGAACATGAATGACAAATATTGCTCCATCTATTAAAATTAAGGCTGGCGATACTGTATCCTGGTTTAGATTTGTGGATGGATGTCAGTAGAAGTTTTCAGTTGGCAAAATAATGTAAATTCCAGTTTCATTCAGCATTTTATTTTACTAAAGCATTTCAAATCAAATCTCAGCTTCTGACCAGTAGAAGAACTTGACAGTAAAGCCCCGACCCGAGGCAAACTCTCTGCTACAGAATCACATCCCAGCTCTGGAGGACAAGAGGTCAGAAACACACATAAACACACAGCACAGGTCAATACGGCTGCAGAACATAATGCCTACAGTATAGAAAAACGTTAGTCCCTGTAGACGTAGTGTGAGTAGAGTCCCCCACAGCCTTGACCGTGCTGCGTATCTGTTAGAGTCCTCCACTCATCCAGCCATCAATAATTAAATTGACTTGATAAGCCTTGATAAACACAGTACACCAACCTGCAAACACGCACTGGACGACCAGAGTCTGTCTCATGTATGTGTATGTGTTATGTATATCTAAGGGGACTTCCTGCAGTGTGATTGGCTGAAGTTGCAGCTAACCCACCTATAGTAGACAAAGACTTCAAACAAAGCACCTGGAGATAAACCCTGATCAAGATTTTTATTTTATTATGTTTGCAGGCATTCGTTATTTTTTGCGGACTAGGAATCAACAACACTATGATGTACAACCAAGTCAAGAAGACGTGGGCGAAGCAGTCTGTGGCTCTGGACGTAAGAATGATTTTTAATTAATTTTATTTTTTTTTTTCATTTTGTTTTACAAAATATCTGTAGACCTTGACAAAACAGATACATTTTTTATTTCCATGTAATGTTCATTTAATACATGACAAAAATATTACATTTAAAAATATGTTTTTGTATGTGTTTGTTTATCAGTGTTTGTCATGTTATTATTATTATTTTCATTTCATGAAAAAAATAAAAACGTTAAATTTTTAAACTCTTTAGAGCCACAAATGCAGTTTTATCTGAACGTTCCTTTATATCACTGTATTTTATAGTTCACAGTCAAGAAAATGTGCTTTAAAAGAAGCTATTAGTGATCAATAAATCTTTAGCTAATTATCTGATCATCTAACCATAACCAAAACCAGACTTAATTGCAATCCAAAAACTCCATGAAAACGCACTGTGGTGAGTGTGGTGTCGTCAAAAGAGCTCCTCGTGCTCATTAGTGTCTCCGTCTGTTTTCCGCTCCACTGCCTGATATCTAAGTGGAGTCGTTACATTATCCTCAGCAAACATGGTTCTGCTCCTCGGACATGAATATTTCAGCTCCTCTCAATAATTCATCCAAACATGTGCCAATGTGTTCAACCTGTCATCAAAGGAACGTGCGTTACCGTCGCTCCGCCGCCACCGTTTCTGGCAACATCTGAGGAAATAATATTTACATTTACAGGTTTCGCTGAATCTCATTATTGAGAAACATTCACTGGACGATACAGTAATGACAAATGGTCTCAAAAACACCGGGAAGTAACTGTTTTAATCTCATGGAATGAGTGTGTTTTGTATAAGCGACTGTTGTTGGCGTAACTTTTCACTGTCTTTTAGATGTTGTCCTACCATGCAACCTGCTCTAAGGTGGAAGTCGACAGACTCAAGGTAAGGGGACAGAGGTTAAGAAAACATTTGGATGTTTACTCCCAGACTGGGCCACATGAAATGAATAAAACAAAGGAATAAATGAATAAATGATTTTGAATACACAGACTGTAGTCGTCCAACTCCCCCGCTGGCAGCGTGTGACTGACAGCTCTGTCCTCTCCCCCCTAAGGCAGCCAAGATTCCCCTGAGCACGGAGTTAGGCATCGACGAGTTTCACTTTAATGACTTCTCTTTGGACAATGACGCCATGATAACTGCGTCACTGCGAATGTTTTTGGATCTTGGTGTCGTGCAGAAGTTCAAAATTGACTATGAGGTGAGGACTTTTGAAACTATTGACAAATAAGTTTGGACTTGTTGACTTAAAGCCCAGTTTTGAGTGATGGACGGACGAATGGATGGATGGATAGACTACACTTACTACAATTAATTTTCATGTTTACACAAGAAACCAACAGTCTCCTGGTTACAACCACTGCACTGTATGTAAGTCATGTTTCTGTCGTGGCGGTGAATATACAGGTGCTGTGCCGCTGGCTTCTGACTGTAAGGAAGAACTACCGGACTGTGGTGTACCATAATTGGAGGCACGCCTTCAACGTGTCCCAGTGCATGTTTCTGATGATCACAGTGAGTTTTAACATCACGACAGGCAGCACATTCTCACAGACTCATGAATGTTGCAGCATATTCATTCGTAACTCTGCTTTAACTCACAAACTTTGCTATCCATTTTTTACAATTTTACATAAGTTCCAAATATGTGTCAGGCTGAGTTGTAGATGAATGCCATGAAAAGAATATGCATGAAATGTTAAAATTAAGGGTTTTTTTTGCTGGGTTTAAACAGTAAAAAGAAAACAAGGTCACCAAAACTTTTTGATAGAGTGTATCTGTGATATTTAAGCTCCAAATATCAATATATACCATATCAAATGAAAAGGGCCCAGGTAAATGTAGATCCATTTTTAAATCACTAAAGCAGGAACTTTAGTCTGAATATCAAAAATAAATATATAAACTAAATTTATTATACAACGTTTACAAAAAATATTAAAATGCAATGCGACATGAGCTGTTGTGATACAGGGAAACATATTGGAGTATTTCTAGTAATACAATAATAAACATAAAAATTATTAAAAAAAACAAGGACAAGATGTTGTTTTGTTTTTAGCAAAAAAGCTAGCGGCAGGGACGAAAGCTAACGTGCACAGCTCCATCTAATTTGGTGTGGCAAAAAGTGATAAAAAAATCAGATAAAGCAAAAGAATGTGAAGTTAGCTGAAGGTTGCAAAAACGTTTTTTAAACAAATGTCCTAAACACACAATGTTTATCTTTTTCTTCTATTTTCTTCTTCTTCCTGAATAAAGGACAAAAGACTGCTGACATCAAAACAACTTCCTGTTATCTAACAAAATTTGGGGAAGTCGACAAAATAAAAGCACAAAATTGGCATAAATCAATTAAAAAAAAATCAACTGATTGTTTTGTTACCATTTGACAACAGCCAAACAAAACATTCACATATTTGGCATTTTTACAGAAGCCTCACAAATCCAACACATAAAACACACACACACACACAAAAACACTGAATAAAGTGTTCAAGGTCTCACAAAACCAGTCCAAGTGTCTGGTTTAGCCTCAGGCAGGACTTTAGAGAAGACTGACCCAAATGTGTATGGATCCTGAATGAACAGATCGTACTCTGCATTCATTATTAGAAGTAAAAAAAACCCAAAGGGAAGAGGCTGTTAAATGGTTAATGCTGTACCAGACTACATTTGCTTTTCATTTCCCAAAAATAGACACATTTAAAAATTAAAAGCACCCAGCTTTCTAAAATAATTTGTCTCAAACTCCAGTTTTGTCTCACAGCCTCTCTCTGTGTTTGCTCCCTGTCAACTCGTCTGACACATTAAAGGAGAAGTTCCACTAAAGACACCATCAAACCCTAAAAGAGAAGAGCAACCTGTCAAGGTTATTTTTAAAATCTCTAATCAGAAAAGGTCTCAGCGGACTTAGCACTGTACAAATGATTCAGTCACAACATCAGGAGAGTAAAGACAACACTCCAGAGAAGGCTAATTTGGGTAGAGACGATCATATTTATAGTCCGATCGGTTTGAAGGCTCCAAAAATGTGGATGAATGTGGAGTCGGCCAACTGCTGTTAAAATATTCATTACAGCAGGAGAACATGTGAGGCAGCATCGGAACATTTTAGCTTGGCGTTGATGCTCTGGTTTCATCACTCCCTGAAGATAACAGTACATGCATGAGATGTGAGGAGTGATGAGCAAATATCTTAACTCTCCTGAGAGCAAAGAGCAGAGGAGGAGGGCGGAAGTGATGCGGTGTGAGTCGGTTTGAGGAGTGCGTTTGAAGGAGCAGTGAGAAAGTGTAACATATATGCCATTCATTTCCTTCCCGTTGGATTGTGGCGATGTCAATGAAAAGACAAAAAAGTGTTTAAAATAAACTGGTGTCAAATGTATAAAATGCTCTATATTTAATATGAATGGATTCTGGCTTTGTTTTGAACAGACAGCTAAATTCCAGGATGTTCTGTCGGATGCAGAGATCCTGGCTCTGATGGTCGGCTGCCTGTGTCATGATTTGGACCACAGAGGCACCAACAATGCCTTCCAAGCCAAGTGAGTGACTGCCTGTCTCCTGTATCTCTCTCTCTCTCTATTAAAATATACTTGTATATTTGTTGTATTTTCACTGAAAATCTAAAATATATCAGAACAGTAATAATCATGACTTCTGATAACTACGCTGGTCATTTTAGTGTCCTATAATATAAGAATGACATTTGTTGAATGGCTATGGTCAACACCATGTTGGTCAATTGTTGGTCAATTGACGGTCAGTTGGTGTCCCTGCTGCTGTGTGTCCTGTAGGACAGGTTCTGCGCTGGCTCTGCTCTATGGGACCTCGGCCACACTGGAGCATCACCACTTCAACCATGCAGTCATGATCCTCCAGAGTGAGGTCAGAAGTTTAGAATGTTTTTTTCTTAGTCCTCAGTGACCTCTCTGTTTCACCATTGATTTTTTTAAAATTCTTCTATTGAAATCCAGTGTTATTTACTGGATTATACAGCAAGTAAACCCTGGGGAAACTGTGATGTAACAATATAAGTCAATATAATTTGATCTTTAGCAACTGTAACCTTTAGAGATCATTTTATAGACTGGAGAAAGTCTATATATGATGGTAATTAGCAATGCTAATAGGCTTGTCTCTGACAGTGAGAAATGACTTCATCAATATCATTGGTTCTAAAGCAGGGTTGACTTTTTCTGCTTGGCTTCTCTTCTGTACTGTGTGTGAGACGACTGTTCACTATCGACTGTTTTTCAGGGTCACAATATCTTTGCCAGTCTCTGCTCCAAGGAATACAGCAACATGATGCAACTTCTGAAACAGGCCATTCTCTCCACAGACCTCACTCTACACTTTGAGTGAGTAGAATTTGTTTCCATAAATAGAATGTAGCCGACAATATGGAATCGGAAGATGGTGAGAAATTCATCGTGAGGAACAAAGGGGCAAAGGTTGGGAAGTTTGAAAATGAAGTTAGAGAAACGAAGTTCAGAAGGTTTGAGATCTGGCCAGAGGAGAGAGAGAGAGAAATAGAGACAGAGAGACAGAGAGACAGAGAGAGAGAGAGAGAGAGAGAGAGAAAGAGAGAGAAAGTCATTGTATCTAGTAGATCAGGTCTGAACGGATAAACATGAGTGAGGTCACAGATTAATTAAATGAGCTGCAATGCTGCCATCTAGTGACTTTCACTTTAATATACAGCCGTTTATCCCCAAAACTATTTTTTGGGCACGTCACAATATATTGATAACGATTCTTACAGATATTACATGATATGCTAATATCAGCCCGATAATATTCGTCGGCTAATATTATCGGACAGCCCTAAATGTGTCCACACATGTCTTTGAGTATTCCAACTACGGGACAATATCTGAATTTATAGGACTTCCCCAAACAGTCCAAATGCTTTCCGGTCCTACACAAAGCAAAGGAGACCAAGTCAGTCTAACTGTATCTACTGTGTTCACCTATTATCATGCTCCGTGTCTGTCTCTCCTCATCTCAAGGCGCAGAACAAAATTCTTCGAGACGGTTTTGTCTGGACAGTTCAGTTGGACGGACGAAGGACACAGAGAGGTTTTCAGGTTTCTGAACCTTTTCTTTAATAAACTCTTCTCTGCCCGACCCTTCAGAAAGGCCTCGATTTAAACTCTGATGTCTTCAACAGGTCAATGCTGATGACATCATGTGATCTGGGGGCGGTCACGCGTCCATGGAAGATTTCGAAACAGGTAAGAGTCCAAGTTATTCCACAAATTAACAGATGGATTACAGATTAAAAACCATAACCTGACACAAACCAGCAATGTTTAGAGTCTGGTCCAGCTGAGACCATTTATGAAGCAGTTTTCAAAGTTTGTTATGTTGAGACCATTTTGAAGATCTGTTCTGGAAATTTCTCAAGGAGAAGTACTGAGTGTAGTTATATGTAGTATTACCCTATGTCAGTCCTTACATTCCTTTTATTCCATTCAATTCTGTTTTATTCCAAATATAATGCGGTTCTAAAACTATGTTTCAACATTAAAATAAAACAAATATTAAATATTAAAATAAATAGAATTTTTGTTTGGATTTCTCAAGGTTGCAGAGCTGGTGACGAGTGAATTCTTTGAGCAGGGCGACAGGGAGAGGTCGGAGCTTAAGTTAACACCAGCAGTAAGTACATCAAAAAAAAAAAAAGAATTTGTTTACGGTTTTTCCACTTCATCATCTGTTTAACTTCTGTCCTCTTCCCTCTAGGCCATATTTGACCGTAATCGCAAAGATGAACTTCCTGCCCTACAGCTGGACTGGATCGATGGAATCTGTAAACCACTGTACCAGGTACTGTTTGGACTATGGGTTAATTTCACTGCAACAGTTCACTGAAGCCTTTGTCCATTGATGCTAACGCTGAAATGGACCTGGAGAGTCTGAAATGTATAAAGACAGTTTTCAGCATCAATAGTTTTTCCCTCAATTTTTTCTATCTTTGCATTTCTAGGCAATGTGTTGACAGTACTGTGGGGTCACAGAGACTGCCAGATAAACCCCCAGAATCATAAATTATTGAAAATGACATAAACACACAAAACCATTGAGAATTAGGTGTATTGTTGTGTACAAGCACAGGCAGGCTCTGTAATGTTCCAGGGCTGAATTACTGTCAAAGATAAAAATGTTGTTGCCATGTGGGAGAAAATGCTGGCGCTTCATCAGTACGAGGTAGGCATCAGGGGAACCTAGACTAAGTACTGACTCAGAGTACAAAGTATAGGTTTTGTAGAAACAACTCTTGACCAATCAGCTCTGCAGAAACTATAAATATGGCAGACCAGAGACTAGTGCACTCCACTGTATATAACTGTAGAACAAAGCACGACATGGAAGACTGAGCAGCACACTGTAGTCTCCCCTTTGTGTTTCACCAGGCACTGCTGAGGCTGAACAGGAAGTTGCAGCCAATGGTGGACGGGATCGATGGCAATCGAAAAAAATGGCAAGAACTCTGCTCCACCTATCAGCAGACGCGCAGAGACTCCGCGTCCAATCAGAGCTCTGACTCAGATCAGAGCCCCGAGTGCCAAGAGCGGGCAGAGAGCAGTCAACAGCGGGAGTCCGCAGAGACGATGGAAAAGAACAAATTTGGATCAAAGTCTCAGTGCAGCCAGGATTTCAAGTGCAATGTTGGCACAGATTCCTGTGATGATCGGCCAACGGCAGCTGGTAACACAACATCTGCAGCAGAAAACTAAAGAGCACACTGTGTTCAGTGGAGGTTCCTCTGTTCCAATGACTCACTGTGGACCTGTTTCTGTGCAGACTGTGCTTTTCTAACGCTCTTTATTAACACTCGACAGATTTTTTTTCTTTTTAAACACTGAGCAAATTACAGTTTGATTTTCATTTGGCTTCTCTTGTCACGTGTGTGTAACTCAGGTTTGATCAGACATTTGAATCCATCCATCATCCAACCATCCATCCACCCTTCTGTATATCTCATAACTAGGGATGTCCGATATGAACTTTTTGCGGATATCCGATGTGCCGATATTTTCCAAACAGATAATTTCCGATTCCTATATGAACAAATACCGATATAGGCCTGCTAATATTTATTTATTTAACTGTACAAACCACTTTGTTTTAACTACAACTTATGTATAAGATTAATTGAATGAGCTGCAATGCTGCCATCTAGTGACTTTCACATTAATATATAGCTGTTTATCCAATTGAATGAGCTGCAATGCTGCATCATTTGACGAAACCCAGGCATTGTTATCGGGTTTTTATTATTGGAGGAAAAACAGATAACAATCCTACAGATGTTACATGAAATGCTAATATCGGGCCGATATTATTGGACAGCCCTACTGACAACTTTTAATTTCTGGGATGGAATGACTCCCACTGAAACCAAAGAATTAGAACAATTAAGTTAGTTTAGAGTTATCTCCACATGGTTTTGAAACTTGATGCTCCTCAAAACTAAATACAAGCCTTTAATGAAAATGGAATCACTGTGAATCCTGTCCTCTCATTAAAAAGTTCCCATTCTGAATGTAGATCGCAGCCTTGACGTCGTTCCTAAATGTTCCTTTCACCTCAGTTGCATCGCTGCATGCTGTAACAGTTCATGTGTTTGTGGACTTAACTTGGCAACAGCTTTTTTTTTTTAAATGTTTTTAATAAAAACTGTGCATGTGAATATATGACCACCTGAACTCCTGAATTAAAACATAAGAAGATAGAAATATTTTTTGTCAGGGACAAAATATGTAAGTTATATGTCGTTGCTATGAATGACTGAATTGTGAAGATTTTATTTTTTCCTCATCTTTATAACAAATAGTATTTATTTTAAAACCATAGTTGATATAATTTCATATTCATGTTGTAAGGACAAAAAATATTGAAAAAAAAGCATAAGCACTTTCGGCTGATTTCGTTGTTTACTTGCCATAAAACTGTGCTTTTCTTTACATGACTGTAGTCGTGCAGCAGACAGAGCCCAGTGTTCATGTGTGTACAGTACATTATATAACATTGTGTTTCTATGCTGTGGGATTTAAGTGTTGAACAACTGGGACTGAACAGCATGATGATTAGGACTTAACTCTGCTTGTATCATGTTTGATGTTGACGCTGGACTTCATCTCGAGGCCTTTGACTGTCCGATGAGATTTGCTGTGGAAATGTGTCAACAGTGTCGTAAAATGTCAGATTACCGTCGCTGAGGGACGAAATCTATTTTCAGTTACAGACTGTGCCAATATGATAAAACTCTATTATTTTCATACGTGAGACTATATTTATGTAAAAGATGTAAAACTGGCGTTTTCTCCTGCTATTTATATGCAGTCAACTAAAAATACCTTCATGGAGACGAGTCGTGAAATCTATGTTTGAGATAAAAGCAAGAAAATAAACTCCAGATGGATTTGTAAATAAAATGATATGGCATGGAAACTACTGGTATGTGAACATTTTCTGGCTAATGAAATATATATATATATATATTTATATATATATACATATATGTATTGTACAGTATATATAAATATATATTTATATACATACTGTACATTTCTCATTTTACAAATGTTTACCAATTAAAATGTATACAATATATACACATGTATATACTGTATATATACACAGGTATATATATATAAGCATATACATACATACATAGATACACATACGCATATATATGTATATACTATATATATAGATTTACACACACATATTGACATATACGTATATATACGGTATAATATATACTGTACATGTCCATAGTGAGCTGGAAGGCTCATGGAGGCACAGGTAGACCAGAGAATGAGAGAGTGTACAGTGTGAGGGTCAAGGGTCAGAAGGTCATGCCAGTCTTCAGATCCTTTATTTAAAATGGCCATGCGTCTGTGTCAAATTATGTTTTAACTTCTACAATTTTGACCTTTTTTTGTGTTTTGTTTCTTTCCTTGTTTGTTTGTTTAGTAACAACAGTAACAAGGGAATGGCAAATAAAAAAAAAATCCCAATGAGTACAACATATGTTACCTCAAAACTGATGTTAAAGGTTAAGAGAGAGCAACACTAAATCTAACAGCCAGACTGTTCCTCAGATATTTTCTTATTCATACAGTCTCTTTTAAATCCCTTCATTTATCTGAGTTTGAAGTGGATTTTAATAAGACGGTGAGATGAGGCAACAGCAGCAGCAGCAGTGAGTAAAAACTCAGTGCAGCTCCATGTGCACGAAGCCGCCAGCTGCCGAGCTACAGCCAGAGTCGGGCCTTAATATATAATTTATTATGGATTGAGTTTAATCTCCTCAGGGTCACTGATCAAGGGAGAGTGGGATGGTGGAGAAGAGGAGAGGAGAGAGAACTCCAACCTCATATCTGATCCAGGGCCTGGCTCTGCCACACTCTTTGATCTCCCTCCCTCCCTCCCTGTCTTTGTCTCCCCCCCCTCTCTCTCACTGCTCTGTCTGCCTCACACAAACACAGTGACTTTCCCCCCAGTTCTCTCTGACATACTGTACTGTGTGGACACGCTATACCATCAAAGAGACAAACAACAACAACAACAACAAAAAGAAACACAGTGAAGACTTGTGTGAAAATATTCCTGCCTGTAGTTCGTGTCCCAACTGGGTTCTTACACCGAGGATAAAATAGAAATAAAACTCTTTTCAGGTGCAGGTTTTCTACTAGCGCCACCTAACTGCTGGTCAAGTATTTCAAGAAATTGCTGAGTATTGGATCTCTGGAGTACTTTACTAAAATATCTGGCCTGACACCAATACTGGTTTTCTCTGTTTTAATTATCCATATTAATTATTTTTACTTCCCCACTTTCTAACGTTTGTTGTTGTTTTGTTGAGTCGAACCAAACCGACCAATCAGAAGAGGGTGCATGCCTGCTGTTGTTGTGGAAGCTGCCACTGGACAAAGCAGACATTTTCAGTTGGTGGCTGGAAACACAACAAACAGGAGGAACATTAAATAAGCAACTACGCTTTCCGCAAAAGCCTAAAAACACAACCTTGGGGAAATTATTATTTAAAGTGAATTCACAGATAAACAAGCCAAAAGTTGCTTCCTGTATAATAAGCAAACTCGTCGACTGTAGTATTAACCTGGTGTGAAAGAACTCTGAGCTGGAAAGGATTTTAGACTTAAAAGTATATGTAGAGAATTTGCTTTTGAACAAAGAATTCAGTTTGTTTTATTTATCTTAGAACTTTTTGACTACCCGCTCCCTTAAAGGCAATTACAATAATGAGACGTTGCTTAACAGCTGCGGCGTGTAAATCGACAGAGGAAATGTCTTACATCCTTTTATAGCACAGAGACTGTGACCAGCAGAGCCATGCTAATGTACTGGTGTGAAATAGACTATAAATATTAATAAGCATTCTCCGTACAGATGGTAATACACCAGGAATAGTTCTGTGCTTCTCAGGATTGGTCATTCTATTAGCTGCATATATGTTTTATGATACTACACCGGAACGGCTTCATTCGTTTGACAATGGACACCGTTAGCGTGGCCCAGGATGTATTATTCATCCAGGGAAACACGGAAATATTATTAAATACATCATTCAGTATTTAACTGATTTCTCGATTTCAACTGCATCATTCAGTATTTAACTGATTTCTCGGTTTCAATCGGTAATTTGTTTTCACCAAACTGTATTTCTTTAGCAAGTTTTGTTTTGGTTGAATTTACATAATTTTCAGCATATTTTGAACAAATGTTACTACAGTATCTAGGTAAATGTGAATTATAATTTCGCTAATTGTTATGCTTTTTGAGTATTATTTATTTATCTCTTTGCTTTTCTAGGAACATTAGCCTTTTTGCTAGCTTATTTGCTAACTTAAAGGTAAGCATTTCGACACCAACATTTCTACACCTATGAATACTTTAATTTGTATTATTCGGCTATTAATGAGCAATTCTACATTTTGGGTTATTGGCCAATGAGCAATTCTACATTTTGGGTTATTATATGTTCACAATACCAAATGGTAACGTTTACTTTGGGGGAAAAATACACATGTTGAAAATATATTAGTGTTTAACTTTTTTTGAATGGCAATAAATTAATAATATTGACATCTTCTGGTAGTGAGACTATAAAACAGAGACGATACATTAGGAATGACGGCGCATTATTGGACAAAATAACAAACCTTTTATCTAAATGTGCTTGTTATTTGCTCTCAGCCGCTGTACACACTGCTGTTGTCGAAAATGTGTTTCAGATTTTAAAATATGCAGCACAAGCCTGAGCCTGCACAGTTTTACAGTAGCTGCAGTAAAAAAACAAAACAAAAAAAAAAACATCAAGCAACCATCACTGGCTTCCAGATGATGTGATGCAGAGACAAGATTTCATACGTAGGACTGAGGCGATGGACGTAATGTCACTGAAAACTAAAAATGATGATTTACTGTGGACATGAGAAGACCTGTTCCTCGTCTTCATGAGCAGGAAAAAAGCCCAAAGCGTTTCCAAAGCAACCTTTGAACATTTATAGCTCGTCAGAAAAACGTGTTCAAAACAGTTAGGTCTGATGGTCCTGTCAGATAAATCTGGATGAGCAGAACCAAGGCTGGGATATATTCATTTATTTTTATATTATGAGGTCTTTTATTTCCAGTGAGCAATATGTTTCAGGTGTATTTTGTATCATTTTAGGGCTTTATTGCAAAATCTTTGGGGGATTTTATATATTTTTGTGTTATGAATAAAAAAGGCTAGCTGGACAGTTGTCACACAGATTGCAAAATCTTTTTACATTACAGTAAATTAATTGTATTGTATTATCTCATAAAAATGTAACAAACTATACCTTTTATTATAAAATATATTTAGGTATTTTTTAACTACTTTAATAAGTTTTTATCTCTGTTTAATTAAAATGCTACGCGGGTAATATGTAACTTTTAAGCTAACACATGGACAAAAGTGGACCATGTTTTGAGTTCATTGAAATTCCCCCAAAAAACTATTGCTAACATAACTATCTGTTACCCAGCAGCTGCTTTAAAGTTCGTAAATTCTGCTCGTGTTTTTGTTATTTTTTCCCCCATGTTCTGGTTAGCTTTGAGCAATTCTGGCTAACTTTCAATGTACTGTCAGTATTCCTGCAACATTTTATCATATCTTTCATTAAAAAACAAACAAACATAAACAGAATTTAATT